AAACTAAAAAGGCATCTGTAAGTTTTGGGCGAATTTGCCATACTCGAGTTTACTCCGCAGCGAGTGCACGATGCGCCTGAGGGATGCACAGATTTTTCTTTTCGTAGTGTTTTCAAGGGTGTCTACCCTTCACCTAAACCCTTTCTCATACCCTGTCTTCGTTCCGCCGCATCCCTTCTCCCTTGTTTTCTCTCGCTCCCGCTCGCAGTCTTTCTCCCTTTCTCCGTAAGTTGCCACAACGTTGTCGTGAGTGGGAATGGATCCCGGTGGAGTTCGGCCGCGGCGCGAGCGAAGAGGAGCACAGAGGAGAGAAGTAAAGTTCGCCACCTGGAGAATCAATACGCCGAGAGAGGCAGAGTAGCTCGAGTGAGGGCAAAGAGCCAGAGCCGGGGGGGGTAGTGCGGGATGACGTCCCGTCCGCCGCTCTCGTTCCTCTCCAAGGTCCATCCTCGCACCCTCCTCTTCCGTGATATGAATGAAAACGCCATTCCCTTCAGGAACGATAACGTTTCATACAGCAAGACATCATGGTCCGATCGCATTGCCTAACGTTTTAAAATCGACTCGGTCTGACCTGTTGGATATCAATTCGACGTTTCCTCATATAACAGTTCGAATCGCACGCTATTAATATTATATTGACAATTAATTATATATTCTCTTTAATCATCGCTCCTTCGAGCGCCATAAGCTTGCACCGATATTTTCGTTATTGCGCACTTGAGGAGCGCCAGATAATGTTGCATTGCCTCGGCCTCCTTTTAAATTTCATCCGTCTAACGTTCTAAGTAGAACTGATCGATCATAATTATTTGAATTGCTCGAACAGTCTGGCGCGGAACTCGTCTGTTATTCCTATCGTTCAAATAATACGTGCCTATTGATTGTGGGTTCTCGTTTCTGCGTAGATATGTCTGTGTATTCCGAATTTAATTATACAAAGAGGAATATTTGCATTTGTCACTGCAGATGCTCGAGTACTAGTAGGATTTCACCTTGTTACGTTTATAACCATTTCATGAGTCATTGAGTCTATATCAGAGACTGAACTCGCTTCGTCCTTCCATCGGTGTGCTAATGTCACGCCGATACAAAATCAAGCGCGCTCGGTACGTTGCTTTTAGCCGTGTCCAGAAAATCGAGTAATCAAATAAGGGCGCGGTGCTCGTCTGTCACTCGGTTCGACAGATTGTTTATTGATACTGCGTGACGTTAACGGGACAGATTGTTCGCGGTGCACGTGCTTTATACCATTAGAGGCACGTCTAATCTCGGATCACGAGCCACCGGCTCGGGACTGGAGAGCTTTGTCGCGTACGTGTGTCCTATCCCATGTAACAGCGGCATTCTCGTAGGACAGAATGAATCGCAGCTATACGAACGGCCTTGTTACGTCACTCCGCGACGACCGGCTTCGACGTCCAACCAACAAACACAAACTCTTCAAGCTAGCAACGTGTAGCACTGGCGTGGCCATTGGCAAGCCGTGCTGCTGCTGCTGCCCGGCATGCCAGATTCTTTTCCTCTCCTTTCAATGAAAATCCCAACGACTTGCGAGTCGATCGACTCTCCTCTATATACGATACGCTTATATTTCCGCGCGTATACGCACGATCGACCACGAGGCTTGCCTATAGTCCAGTGATACGCGTCCTCATTGCGATAAACTGGGTACGAACTGACTGTAGATTATATAGTGCGTAGGCGACATTGAAATAATGTGTATATACATATATGTGCGTGTGTAAATTCGTAGGTATGTATATATTTTTTATAATGACCAGGAAAGACTTGCAAAAGATGAAACAAGACACTGGGAATGGACACAGCATAACACAACGTAACCTCCTTTGACTGATAAACTAACGTTAAGGGAGAAACGTTTTTATTGGACGCAATTTTCTTGGCGTACCGAAGAAGCGACCCCCCAGGGTTCCTTGCCCCCGTGCCAATCTTATCCGTGTTACCTTTATGACACGACCTAACTTTTCGTCAAGACCCAAACCTAACCTTCACTACAGCGAAGTGGACAGGGAAAATTTAGATGGATGTTTCGCGATAATTGATTATGCTGAAGACGCTGTTCTCGAGCGCAGCAATTCATTAAGGGAGCACGATTATATCTCTCTCCTTTTAGTTCTTTACTTCACCGCAAGGATTCGCGGTATTCCTTGGAATTTTTTTGGCGACTCGGCATAGAGTTTACGAAAACTATGTTTTATTGGTATTTCCTTGGGGTCACGCGTTCGCATTGCAGAACAGAGTTTCTCTTTTATCATTGTGAACGTCCTTTATGTACAATTAATTATTCAAACATCACTGTGTCTTGTACGTAAGACCAGAGGCTTCGATATAGCCTGGTTCGATAAACATCTTTACATGGAAAAAAATGTATTTTATTAAGAATCGCCAGGCGGGAATATTTGTTTAAGAAATACCGTATAGCCGTAGGTCTGTGAGTTTTATCAATTCACCATATTCCGGTCGACGATCTACCTTGGTAACGAGCTTCGTTGAAAAAGTACTTTGCTGCTGCAGCGTCATTCTTGCATATCAATTATTCAGTGATTACACTTTAACGAATTATTATATTTATAAGAATTCCTTGGTGCCAATGAATTTGTAATCTTCCCCATTAAGAAACTTCTGGTCAGGGCAAGGGCTTCGGACATTTAAACAGTTCGCGCACTTCTCGTTGCCCGAGGCCGAGAGGTCAGGCGAGTTAGGTGGAAGACAGGAGTAGCAGGTACCGGAGGAAGAAATACTCGAGGGTCCCCTCTTGGCGTGACGGAAGAAGGGCGACCGTTGGAGTGCGTTGGCGAAACTAGATATATTTTTAAATCCGGTGGGCTACAAGCCACGTCAAATGAAGATCGCATGCTTTTAGGATATTCTATCAAACCAATTGTGGCGTTACTCTTATCTCACCGTTATAGGATACGGATAAATGTGTACACACGATGTCAACGACGCAATAATTTCACCCCATACGTCACTCGATGGTCGTTATCTATCGATCGGAACAGACCTAGCTGTCTGAGATTCCTTTTTGCTTCTTGGTTCAACGTCATGTGGCGAACGCTTCTGTTGACTGATCAAATGTTCCTAGAACTTCTATACGAATTATAAATACCTTCTGAGTACTCCGTTGGACCCAGTGCTTCCATTTTTCATCCCTCTCGTCCACGTCAATTATACGACACACAACACATGGTCGGACGTAAATTCGCGAATTCTCTAATTCCCAAGCCCCCGGCGGTCTCCGCCATTGTCAGTCTGCCTACGGACACATTCCTCTCGAGACTAGACGAACCTTTGCCAAGACAAGAGTCATCATCCAGGTTAGTGATACTCAAATTAGGCTGACAATTTTTACAGACTACACGCAACGTTCTTTTTTAACCGATAACCAACACCAGATTTCAGGGTAATGGGATGGGTGATACAGACTGAACATTCTATCCTTACACACTTTATTATTATCCTTTAATCAGTTTAATTTATAGTCTAAGCATTGGTCAAAACGATCGAGCACTCTAATCGGTGCCCAAGGTATTCGAATTAAAGTATTGACGATGTCGCGAGGACGCGACAATGAAGCGTATAAAATTATTTTCTTTGGCGAAGATCCATCGGATATCGACGGTGAGAAACAAAAAAAAACTGTTTGAGTACCGCTGCCCTAGTTTGTGTGGTATAGCTACGACGTATCGTAGCTTGTAAAGACCGCAGTCCACTGGCGAACTGAAATAACCGTATCGCCCTGCTAACCCCACTACCGGGTTTGGCGTTTCTTACGTAGGACAGTATTCGCCAATTAATACCACGTCTGATCAATGCTTCATGAAGACCCCTTGTAACCCTACGTCAACACGATACTACATGTGCACCTTGTAGGCGTTCTACCGCACTCGCGAGCTTCTTAAATCTTTTACCATAGCTCTTCCTCGTCACCTTGTGGAATTTTTCGTTCTCTCCAAATTTCTTATCTCATACTTCATCGAACGATTATCAGCATTCCTCTTAGTCTTTGACTGTAGGTCAGTATCGGACAAGCCCCAGTTGATTCGGAAAAAAAATTATGGAACAAACCGTCATCTGTACGTCTCGTATGTTAAAGATCCCCGAGTTTTCCGATAATTCATTATATTATTCCTATATACCCCCTTGATCCAGGTACCCACTCAGCTTTACTTCTCCTATTTGGCTCCGTTGGCCCCAACATAATCACGGCCCTCCTTTGTTCCCATCTAGTTTTGATCCACGGTCGTTATGAATTGGCAAATTAAAATGCACCTTTGTAAAGACGTCTGAACACGCGTTCTCATTACCCTGTATCGGTACGAGACATTGTTGACGATGCCAGTGGAACACGTTGTACCACCGTGTCAATTGATCTACGTGGTATGATTATTCAGGATTAACAGTTGTACGACTTCGACGATGTCTCTTGTGGGGTGTATTATGTTTCTCAATCTTTTCATACATATTAGTACGTACAACAACTGGATATCACTGGGTTTCTTTTGCCGTCTTGTCACTCGTATTCCAACGTGAAAGATTTAACTACCACGTTTTGACTATTTTGCGACACCTGTCCTTATTTTGTTACTGCAATGGCTGATGATTGAACACGTGATGTTTTCACACACTCGTATTGTCTCTATTTTACGACTACACGTAATCCTTCCTTCTTTATAGATTCGGGACCTCAAAAGACGTATATAACATTCATACCGGTAAAAGCCGGATCGGTGCATCGTGTTGTGATTCTTTCGTGACAACCGATGTGTGTCCACACGCAAACCTTAGAAAGTACTATTACGCAATTCAGTGTTCGTTGTATCAGGTCGCAATAGTATGATCCCCTTTCGTGTATGTATTAAGAGAGCACTCGTCTTTCTGGTATATGCTTGAACATCGATTATATCGATCGCACTTTAAACAGGTGACGTATGTGATATTTTTATTAACGGGGCCTGATGCACTTATTTGTTTAGATGTCACGCCGGCGGAACAGGAAGAGCTCTTCATCACGAAGCTACGGCAGTGCTGCGTGGCTTTCGACTTTATGGATCCAGTTGCGGATCTCAAGGGCAAGGAAATCAAACGTAGCACGCTCAATGAACTGGTCGAATACATCACAGCGGGACGAGGCGTTCTTACCGAGCCGGTCTACCCCGAAATCATTAGGATGGTACGAGTCGTCATGATAGAGGATTAGTTGATTCAGTTGTGTCTGAAATAATATTTTTGGTAGAGACGATTAAATTACCTGGGAAGAAAGGTGGGCGGATTATTCTTTTGAGACTTTTTACCGAGGGCGGAGTGTTTTTCTCTGTGAAGGATTTTCAAGTTTCCTCAAATGCTTTATATCAAATGTATCATAATTTCTCACGAGCGTTGGCTTTAAGCACGATAGATAACTGGTATTAAATTCTAATTATACGTGAAATCACCTTGATCGATTCCGATATGACGATAACAGATTATGTACTGAGCAGTTTTTCCTCGTGATAGTGTGAGGTTAGTTTTTTTCTCTTTTTTTCTTAACGCACAAGTGGAATTTGTACTACTTTCTTTTTTAAAATATACTATGTTTCAGCTATGTGAACTTGGCACCCGACTTTGAAAAATCAATTTTTTTTTTTATAGACTTTTACGAATGAATTCACATGATAAATTGTTCGTGTATTACTGGCATCTATTGCACAAATTCTCTTCTCTTCTCTTCAACTTCCAGCTTTCGCATAACCAGCACGTAATTAACTTTAAGTTAATGATTAAACATAGAGCTATGTGAACTTGGCACCCGACTTTGGAAAATCAAATTTTTTTTTATAGACTTATAGGTTTAGGTATGTAGTTTGTAGTACCAATTTTTTCGTTTGTAGTAGACCCAAAAAAAAGTTATAGCATCATAAAGAAAGTATAAGGTAACTTATCATTTTTTAAATTCTAATTTTTAAAATTCCACAATTTCATCAGCATTTTGTTCATTATCAATTTCATAATTACTCCCAACGAATGAATTCACATGATAAATTGTTCGTGTATTACTGGCATCTATTGCACAAATTCTCTTCTCTTCTCTTCAACTTCCAGCTTTCGCATAACCAGCACGTAATTAACTTTAAGTTAATGATTAAACATAGAGCTATGTGAACTTGGCACCCGACTTTGGAAAATCAAATTTTTTTTTATAGACTTATAGGTTTAGGTATGTAGTTTGTAGTACCAATTTTTTCGTTTGTAGTAGACCCAAAAAAAAGTTATAGCATCATAAAAAAAGCTCATCCACCGACTTTGAAAAAAATGAAATCTAATCACTGATTCCTGCAGAGAATCGTTTGTAGTTGATTGTAGTGAAAGAATTTCCGTTTGTAGTAGCATAGAAAAAAAGTTAGAATTTTTTTTTTTCTTCAAGTTATTTGTAGTCGTATATAAGTAGTAGCTTCGTTTCGTTTGTAGTTATTTTATTTCGTTTATTGTAGCTTTGTTTCGTTTGTAGTTGTTTGTAGTAACGTCTATTTCGTTTATTGTAGCTTTGTTTCGTTTGTAGTTGTTTGTAGTAACGTCTATTTCGTTTATTGTAGCTTTGTTTCGTTTGTAGTTGTTTGTAGTAACGTCTATTTCGTTTATTGTAGCTTTGTTTCGTTTGTAGTTGTTTGTAGTAACGTCTATTTCGTTTATTGTAGCTTTGTTTCGTTTGTAGTTGTTTGTAGTAACGTCTATTTCGTTTATTGTAGCTTTGTTTCGTTTGTAGTTGTTTGTAGTAACGTCTATTTCGTTTATTGTAGCTTTGTTTCGTTTGTAGTTGTTTGTAGTAACGTCTATTTCGCTTGTAGTAGCTTTGTTTCGTTTGTAGTTGTTTGTAGCAACGTCTATTTCGTTTGTAGTAGCTTTGTTTCGTTTGTAGTTGTGTGTAGTAACGTCTATTTCGTTTGTAGTTGTTTGTAGTAACTACAAACAAAAGAAGGTCATTACAAACAACTACAAACGAAACAAAGCTACTACAAGCGAAATAGACGTTACTACAAACAACTACAAACGAAACAAAGCTACTACAAGCGAAATAGACGTTACTACAAACAACTACAAACGAAACAAAGCCACTACAAACGAAATAGACATTACTACAAACAACTAGAAACGAAACAAAGCTTCTGTAAACAAAATAGACGTTACTACAAACGAAACGAAGCTACTACAAACGAAACGAAGATACTACTTATATACGACTACAAATAATTTGAAAAAAAAAAAATATTCTAACTTTTTTTCTATGCTACTACAAACGGAAATTCTTTCACTACAATCAACTACAAACGATTCTCTGCAGGAATCAGTGATTAGATTTCATTTTTTTCAAAGTCGGTGGATGAGCTTTTTTTATGATGCTATAACTTTTTTTTGGGTCTACTACAAACGAAAAAATTGGTACTACAAACTACATACCTAAACCTATAAGTCTATAAAAAAAAATTTGATTTTCCAAAGTCGGGTGCCAAGTTCACATAGCTCTATGTTTAATCATTAACTTAAAGTTAATTACGTGCTGGTTATGCGAAAGCTGGAAGTTGAAGAGAAGAGAAGAGAATTTGTGCAATAGATGCCAGTAATACACGAACAATTTATCATGTGAATTCATTCGTTGGGAGTAATTATGAAATTGATAATGAACAAAATGCTGATGAAATTGTGGAATTTTAAAAATTAGAATTTAAAAAATGATAAGTTACCTTATGCAGAAGATCACGCGATAATATGGTGTTGCGTACACGTTTAATCGATGTACAAAAGTTTTGCGACTGCAGAAATTTGCTCCTAAAGGAATATTGCAAGGGAGAGAACATGAATAATCCAGGGTACTTTTTTTGTACGCTTCGTTTAATTTTCGATTCTTCATTCTGAGTATTTGAAAGAATTATCTGTAGACTGGGGAGAAAGTTGTTTGTATAATATTTTTTAATTTTTACTACCGCAGATTTCGGCAAACCTATTCCGTACGTTGCCACCTAGTGAAAGCCCGGACTTCGATCCCGAAGAAGATGACCCTACCTTGGAGGCGAGCTGGCCCCACCTTCAGCTGGTTTACGAATTCTTTCTTCGTTTTCTCGAGTCCTCGGACTTCCAGCCTACCATCGGCAAAAAGGTTATCGACCAAAAATTTGTGTTACAGGTAAATCAATTGTTTTTACTATGTCACGACATTGGATCGAAGTACTATTATTGAGATGTATGTTAATGCAATATGTGATCTGTATTATTTTTTGTTATAGTTATTGGATTTGTTTGACTCGGAAGACCCCAGGGAGAGAGATTTCTTGAAAACAGTGTTGCATCGTATCTATGGAAAGTTCCTCGGCCTTCGGGCATTTATACGCAAACAGATTAACAACATTTTCCTCAGGTACGTTATTACGTTTCTTATATCTTGTATAACATTTCCCACTTTGTCATTGACAGGCTATACCTAAATACGTTTGAGGAAACTTATCAGACAATGTTTTAATTTTATGAGAATAGTCGATAAGTGCGTTTTTGAAGTTCGCATCTTCATTTATGATGGAACAAAGCACTAATGACAATTGGAACATAAAAGTAAGGATCATAATTAATAAAAATATTTCACAGGTTTGTGTATGAGACGGAACACTTCAATGGAGTCGGCGAACTTCTCGAAATTCTGGGAAGCATTATCAATGGATTTGCTCTACCCTTGAAGATCGAACACAAGCAGTTCTTGGTGAAGGTATGAACCCAAGTAATTTTAACAATACCGCGAAATCTTTAGTAAATTTTTTAACTATCTTTGCTAATAATGATATATACGAAGAGTATCCCCGCCAAGATATACACGGGTATGTTTATCCGTTACTATTCAATCACGTTACATATATTTAAATAACTTGCAGGTACTGTTACCACTACATAAAGTTAAATGCTTGTCTCTGTACCACGCGCAGCTTGCATATTGCGTGGTACAGTTCTTGGAAAAGGACGCGACATTAACGGAGCCAGTTGTACGGGGCCTCCTGAAATTCTGGCCTAAGACCTGCAGCCAGAAGGAGGTCATGTTCCTGGGCGAAATTGAAGAAATATTGGATGTTATAGAACCTAGCCAATTCGTTAAAATACAAGAACCATTGTTCAGGCAAATTGCGCGTTGCGTGTCGTCACCTCATTTTCAGGTATTAATACAGAACTTGGCACGTCGCGAAAGATGTCACAGTATATTATTTGACAACGAGGGTAACCATGATTTTATATTTTCAGGTCGCAGAGAGAGCACTGTACTTTTGGAACAACGAGTACATAATGTCCCTGATCGAAGAGAACAATCATGTTATAATGGGAATCATGTTTCCAGCACTGTATAGGATCAGCAAGGAGCATTGGAACCATACTATTATCGCCCTTGTCTACAATGTTCTCAAAACCTTCATGGAAATGAATAGCAAGCTCTTTGATGAACTTACTGCCAGCTATAAGTCTGAGAGGCAAAAGTGTGTATTGCATTTAAAATTGCACGTCACAGAAAATGATCGTTTTGCTCGTTTGTTGATTTAACAAATGTACTTGCAGAGAAAAGAAGAGGGAAAAGGAGAGGGATGAACTGTGGAAGAAACTGAATGAGCTGGAGCTTGAACGACGTGGGGCTCTCACAGCCACCCCTAACACACCAGTTCCTGCCACTACTGCACCTGCGACACGAGCCCGCCCCTGAGCTGGTCAGTAAGAATCTTCTTTCCTGTAGAGCTGTAACAGTTTATTTCAAACTTTCCTAAGACCACAAATCTTGGAGACAAACGCACGCAAGCTAATCCAAATTCGTTACTTTATTTTACAGGTGGAAACTCACTACCACGCTGCCCAACTGTTAGTCCTTAGTTTACGTCGATGGTCCATACACTACAAGCAAAAAAAAAAGAAACAAATTATCGTTGTTAGTGAAAACGAAGATGACATTCTTGACGTAATATAATTCCTTTCTTTAGTTGCGCCTAAAAGGCGGAGCGGAGGAGGGGGACAGAAGAAGCAGTAACTATATTTTATTCTCCTTTGAAGCCATGATGATCGGTTGGTGATGATTTTTAATGATTTTGTTGTGTATATTAATTTTTAATATTTTTGACGGCAATGATTTAAGTTGTATGGTTTACTCAGTGTCAGCACATAATACGAGGATGTTAGTCCCTTCTTAATTAAGGCTAGCTGTGCTCCGTGGGAGGTGAAAGGGATGACCGAGGTGGGTGGGAATAATTCGGGCAGTGGGGGAAGGAGAGTTATCGTTAATCTTCTGTAATTCATACGTTCGATTGGGATACGTTGGAGGATTGTGTAGAAGGTAGAAAACAAATTTAGGAGAATAAATGGATAGAGAAATGAGCCAAGTCAACTCTTAACCATCCTGGTGCGGTGAGATATCAGACTGCCAGTCAGCCAGCCAACCAATTGAATCAACCAAGCAGTTAGCCCAGCCAGCCATCCTATTATCCAGCTAGCCAGCAACCAACCAACCAACCAGACAACCAGTCAGCTAGCCGACCATCCACCCACCTCGTTCCAGTCTTCACCTCCGACAGCCGGCAGGGGCGTTGTTTGAAATGTATCATATATTCGTATTAATGATAATAACTATAACAAAACATAATAAATTAGGTAAATATATATAATACGATATATATATTATAAAAACATAGTAATATTGATGATATGACAAAAAGTTTCACACACTCACACACGTTACATATAAATACATGAGAAGCTGTGGTTAAACATCCACACGTAAGGTACACACCCATGTGCTATCGATACTAACATTGCGCTGACTGCATGCCCGCAGCTCGACGAGCAACTTTTTTCAAGGATGAAAAAATCGTAGAGGTATACAAATGCATAAAGTAACATTAATGAATAATAATATTGAATCCATTGAAGAGAAAACGTAAAAAATATATGTTGTTTTTTAAATAAAAAAAATAAAAGAAGCGAGGGACAAATATACAATAAAAAATTTAATTGTACCAAAATATCCATGGTTGCTTATAAATATAATAAATAATAGAGATACAATGCATAAGATTTATTCGGAGCTGTGCTCCCACCAGCCACCGCAAAAGTGTACGTGGGATCGTTTTTAAAATTTCTTACCATTGCATAATAATGATAATAATGATACAAATAACAACAATAAAAATAATATTAACGAATAGATGGAAGTAATACAAAAATGATCGCTTGCTCACGTTCTCATAACGTAGTGCGAGAGATACCTAACCGATCATTTAGAACGTTACTTTCTTGCAATATGTCTGAGGCATAATGTTTCGTTAGTTTCTTGTTACACTCCATTTTTCTCCTCTTCATGAAAATCATTTTCTCAATGTCACATGAGAGTATAAAGTACATGACCATTGCCAATTTGTAAATGCTGTAGCGACTCCAAAAATTAAATAAAAAAATAATTTTTGACGCGTGAATATACATAGGCATTTTAAGCGAATGCCTATTTTAATTTTACTGTCAATTCCTTTGACGCTGCTTATTTACGTACAAATATTAATTAAAGATAGGACGTATTACATGAAAATATTGTTTTACATTATTATAATATATTTTTACCGTTTACCATTAGTTATATTAATTCGTAACGAATAGTTACTTTTCATAACGGAGCTCGTTGTACAAAGAATTAATAAATACGGTGAAACTCGATAGTGTGGATAGGGTACCTATGGACATTTCGTTTCTAATCACATTGGTACATAATTTTATTTTCATAAAACAAATCAAGTCTTAACCTTGTCTCTTATTTTTGAAGTCGTCATTACCAAAAACGTTTCCTTGTCAAATATATGTAAATAACGCACTTGAAATTCATTACGCACTGTTATGCACGAATGGATAAGCAACTTCTTTACTTATCTGAAAAACAAAAAATATGACATTCCAACAAATTCTTCTAAAATAATCAGCTTATGAAAAAGTTCGTTTTTTTTTTAACGAAAATATACATTGTAATGATGAGAATCACATCATATTCTGATGATATCATTCATCGCAACATGATCGCAGTGTTCCCTGTTCAGCTGCATGCAATGGATGAGTCACAATACTCGTAGTACTTATAGTACATTTTGGAACGTACCGTGCATAGTTATTATTTATAATATATCCTCGTAAAAATAATTTAAATAAATTCACATGCGCCTAATTTTTCTAAAATTCATCTACTCATTCCGTTATTAGAGGTAAGTTTGTATAATTTAATTTTTGTATTATGATGTACGTACAATTGTACAAGATCAGGAAGTTCTCAGTTGCCTATGGACAAACACTATCAACTACGTTAAAGACATACGGTGAAGCTTACGATACCGATAATCTATATAAACTGTTAACTTGTTAATCATTTATTTACACTGATTATTCCTTTCAATGCCGAAATGAGGTGTCAAACTACGGTCACAGCGTTCGTCCGGTACGTACATACACTCCTGTCTGTCACGGTATCTATGGAAACGAGACGCTAAGTCTAGGAATCTCATTGGCTAAAACGTTCAGAAAAAGATTGATCCCACTATAAGAATCATAGAACTTATACTTACTCCTGGAAGAGGAATCGTGTTTTAAAAGTAGTCTCAACATGTTGAAACAGAGATATATCTCTTTCTCACTTCGTTACGTTCAGTTCAGGCCAGTTCCCCTCATTGCGCAAATGCACAATTTTACTGACCTAACAAAACCTAACCAATCTAACGCGAAACGCGAAATACCTTCCTTCCTTTACTTATGGCTGACTCCTCCAATGAGGAGATGTGCCAGAAACGCGAAATACAGGATGACTGAAGAAATTCGATTGGAGGCAATCGTTGTTATGACATAGTGCGCGCGTGTGCAGTGAGAAGTAGAGTCCCTTTAGAAAGAGCCGGCCAACACCCGGAAGGGACGCCATATTAAGGGCTTGTTTCGCGCCACCATGACATTGCGCGCGGATTTTCAAATTATCAATCTTTACCTTAAAGAGACTCGGTCGAGTCTCGCGCCAAGTACAGGCAACCCGCCGTACAGGGCTTAACACTACCCACACTACACAATGCGAATCTCTCTCATATATGTATTCACACAACCATTCTATTCCGGGAAGAGCCCATAATATGGCGGAGCCAATCACTAACAAGCCCCACCGTTGGCCGGACTCTTACTAGAGGGACTCTAGTGAGAAGAACTGAACGTTAACAACGAAGAGAGATACATATCTCTGTCTCAACATGTTGGGGCCACTTTTCACTCATTGCTAGAGTGCGTTATTATACTTCCAGGAGTATAAGTTCTATAATAAGAATGCTATCTCTCTCGGCTCGCACTTTTCCTACAGTGGGTGCGTTCCATGTTGAGTATAGTTTAGTGGTGATAACGTTCAACTTGGTTACGACGGGACACGTGTTATCGACGGAGGCAATGATCACAAAACCCTACTTTCGGACTCGCCGCTACGATTTAGCGCCATGCTTTTGGTATCGCCTAAAATCGTAGTGTTGTGGATCTCCCTACTCATCTCTGCATTAACAACGAACATTATCTGTCAAGAGATTGCGAATGATTTTCATAGCTCGTTCCACTTAATTTCTTATTACTTTGGCTTGTACTGACATGAATTTGTGAGAATTAAACGCATAAAATGTCGAAAACCGATGCTCCAGTAGAACAATATTTACATGTTTTTTTCGTGATAACGAATCTTATGAATTTGAACGATTTCCTTTATTATCATTGGTTTTAAAGATTTGGTACTGGCTGATACGTTCTTCACTCTTGAAAACGAAGTCACAATGTTATCACGCAAGAACAAGGATCTTCGAACAATTAAAGAAGGTGTCGTTGGAAAATATGTCAAGAAGGAAACACCTCCAGAGATGCCCAGTGAGTATAACATTTGTTGTATTATAATATTATAATCTTCAGGCAATCTTACTAACAATTATATTCTGGGACTTTCAAGTATAGTTTGAATGAATGCGTAACTAAATTCAATTTATATGCATATATATATAGTTTTGAAGAATATTCTATTAAAGCATAATTATTTATTTATTATTTCAGTTATTAATGTTTGGACGACAGAGCCAAATAGAAGAACAAGAAGACGCAATAACCAGCCAACTATACCTTCATCTATGGTAAAAAATTTAATTATTGTCATTTGTTATTTGATTAATGAGGAATGTTACACTGTTTAGCCAGTTCCTCAACAACCCAGTATGGTACAGAAATTTGGAAATACTAAAACAACAATGAGTGCTGTAGGTTTGGGAAGTCACGAGGGAAAATATACTCCAAACAGTTCAGTTCCTGATTTGGCTCAAAGGTATGTGGTGCTGATCTGACAAACGATAGTCTGTATCAATTTTAGTTTAATAATATATTACAAAGTACAATAAATGATCTTCTTGCACAGGTTTGCTAGTCTTTCTGTTAATTCTGGCTCAAGTGATGGAATGAGTTCACGTACAGTTACTCCAATGTATCATCCTGGATTATCACCAGCTATATCACACACTTATGTTAACCAATATGCAGGATCTGAATACCATTTGGACAGGGTTCAGACACCACAAATGCCTTACCTGCCTTTTGAAATTGACACAGGCTATGAAGAATATAATCAAGCACCATACCGCTTAAATGCCGGGTATGAATACAGAGTTGAACAAGTTTAAAATCATAAAGATCAGTATGTATAACATAGAATAATTACTATCTTCAGTTACAGTAGAACTCATTCGGAACGATCGAGTTCTAGAAGTGAACAACCGGAGGAACTACCGCTTCCTCCTGGTTGGTCTGTTGATTTTACTCTTCGTGGAAGAAAATATTATATAGATCACAATACAAAGACTACTCATTGGTCACATCCTCTTGAAAAAGAGGGTTTACCAACTGGATGGGAAAGAATTGAATCACCAGAATATGGTGTTTATTATGTTAAGTCAGTGATATATTTAAAATAGAGTGAGAATGAAAACTTTTTATTATAAAACATCTAAAAATTGTATTCTCTTTATAGCCATATCACCAGACAAGCACAGTATGAACATCCATGTTATCCATTAGAAATGCAAGCAGTGAGAGTTGTATCGCCACCACGACATACTCATTTTCATTCTCACAGTGTGTTAGTTCCAGCCAATCCTTACCTGAATGAAGAAATTCCACACTGGTTATACGTTTACAGTCGGGCCTCTGTCGCTCTGGATCGCAAATTGCGTTGGGAGCTTTTCCGCTTGCCAGAACTTGATTGTTTTAATGCAATGTTAACGAGGCTTTATAAACAGGAACTAGAAGAAGTGGTCATGCGTTACGAAGAATATAGGTTTGGTTCTGAGCCAGCAACACCTTACTCAATCTAAGTTTTAAGAGTCAAGCTGAAAATCTATTTATTTTTTTTAGATCGGCGCTGTTATGCGAAATGGAGCAGAGATTAAAAGAATTAAACCCGGAATCAGGTACATCTGCTGCTGGAGCAATAGCTTTGCGTCGATCTCTCCCTTAAACATTATTATTTCCTGTAGAGATAATTGAACAAAATTTGTCCAATGATGACTGATGATTGTTACTTGGCCACATTACTGACTAGCAGTATTTTGATTTTTAGACACATTACTATAAGTAATTAGTATAAGAGAAATTCAAAAGATTATTTTTTTGTATGGTACCTTGTTAAATACATTTTACAATACTAGTATTTTGTCATCTAAGGACTGAAGTATTAAATATAACATATTGTCAACTGTTAATCATTTTTTTGCAACAATGACTTCACTTTCTTGACTATCTAGTTTTTTCAGCACGTCATCCGTATTGAAGAAGAGATCTTCACTTTCTTTCTTAATGTCGATCGAACTTATGGGCTTTTCGATTTCATAGTTATCCACTACTTTAAGTCCAGAAACACGTATTACCTGTGCTTCCTCTATGTTTAATAGCTTCGCAAAGCTTTTAGCTAAAAATGAAATTCAATAAATATTACACTTAAATGTATATAAGAATTTATGTACCTGATGAAATTTCTTTAGTATCACTATTACTCCACTTGAGCAATAAAAGGCCTACTGTATTCCAGGTGACAAATATATATACCAAATTTAAGCGCTTCTTCCACAATAAAGCTTTCTCCTCAGAAATAGGTTTGGTGTTCCTTCTTATAATTCTATGAAACCATCTGTATCTATAAAATAAAATACATTATACATAATTTTCATAATCAAATACAAATCCTTATAAACTCATTTGGAACTCACAAGATTCTATTGATACTGCCTAACAGGATGAAATTATAGGCTTAAGTGATGAAACTCGTCGAAATATAAAAATCATATCTATTTATGCTTATTAATAATTCAAGGTTTATGCCTGGAGCATTAATAAAGTGGAGAACCTGTGATTATTGTGAAACAATAATAACCTTGTCTTTAACATCGTCAGATAATTTATCGACACTATTTGCAGCTCAAAGAAAAATCAAGGGAATTCGAAATAGATTTTAGGAAATTAATGACTTTTATGAAAAACAGAAGCCTGTATCGTAACATCGTATCAGAATAGTTTACCTGAACATTTTTGCGAATTACGAAATTAACATGGAAAAACTAGTTTTTAACGCTGCAAAGGCTCTGTTGCCAGGCCACCATTGTGCGGTTACCGCACAGTGCGGTTAAAAATTGTGTGATCAGCCAGAATCGCATGAACGGAATACAAGTGTTCATAGGCTGTCAGGCATCAGGGACGTCAAAGTGGCATCCCGTGAAATGACATTTGAAATTCACCTTTTAAACAATCAATTACAATTATTTTGAATATAAGTACATTTTATAAAATTTGTAAAGAATTACATGAAAAATTGTTAGCCTTAGCAACCTCTTTTGACAGACCTCTTTTCTTATAACAAATGTAACAATTATAAATCTTTTGTCTACGAAAAATAAATACTTATTAATAAAATTATTATGTCACAAATTTATGTTTCAAACATTTTTGAGGTACATATAACTTATAGGCATTCGTTTAATTTAATTGTTGTTCTTTAAACTTGTACCAATGGTCAGGAATGTAAGGTATTAAAAATACAGTTTTAGATATAACACTTTATTACTATGTTTGGGGTGGGTATTCATGGGCACATGCTAAATTTTATCCTGTCACAGAAGACCCTCGTCTAGCATGACTTTACAAGTGATGATAATGTCAAGGTTCCAGAAATACTAAAAAGAAAATATACGGCCCTGTTTTCTATGGGAAAGTCGGTAGCGATTGGTGGAGTGAATAGGCATCGCTGTGATGTGGCGGTGGAACGGGACGGCTGGCAATCGAATAAAAGGGGGAAGGAGGAGCGATTTCGCGCGTTGATCATATTCCAAAATTTCAGAGAAATAATAAAGTTCAGTACTTCATTTCGCTCAGCAGACAATTGAGCGAGTGGATTTCTCTTTCCGAAACGACTGAGATGTCCGTCATGGGGAAGGTGAGTGAAGCTTAAGAGAAAATATAGTGTCGCGTGCCATCCGCAATTCTTCCAATCAACCCCTTTATTCGGTGCTCCTTTCGCTTATCAATTAAAATCAGCGTTACGCCAATTAATTCGCTATTGTGATGCTTTACCAGTTACTACTTGTACTAGCGTGTTTCTCGAGTTTATGCCTTCCGTGTGATTATTGTCCTTGAGTGTGGAATTTTTCGATATTTTGCATAAAGGCCGGTAAACAGCTATGAATTTCTTATAATTAACGTTGTCGTTTTTATTTAATTTTCAGCCGGTTCTGTACTCTTATTGGCGGAGCTCCTGTTCGTGGAGGGTACGAATTGGTAAGTAACTCTTCATTTTTTTTATTATTTGATTATTCGTTTCTTGTTGGAACATCTTTTTTACTGTACCGCGAATTATTCCCACTGCTTTTATCTTTCGGTCACGCATGACGTGCATTATTGTTAAGAGGGGTGTTCATTTATTTCCTGAATCTTATATTCTCCTTATTTGTTTATGCATGCTAGTAGTGAGACGCTTTGTTAATTAAAAATATGTTTAATCATATTTACTTGACTTGTTAGCTTTGAACCTGAAGGAGATACCGTATGACATAAAACCTGTGAGCTTAGTAAAAGGTGGTGGAGAACAGCATTGCAATGAATTTCGTGAAGTCAATCCAATGGAGCAAGTTCCTGCACTCCATATTGACAATCATACCTTGATTGAGTCTGTGAGTAATTCAATGTTTATAGAGAATTAAAGAATCATACTTTCTTTTTGTGAAGTTTTTCTGTATTTTTTTAATGCCTTACAGCTAAACATCTTACAATATTTGGAAGAGACCAGACCACATCGTCCTTTAATGCCTGCTGATCCAGTGAAAAGAGCAAGAGTTAGAGAGATTTGTGAAGTGATTGCCAGTGGCATTCAACCCTTGCAAAATCTGGTTGTCTTAATCTATGTTGGCGAGGAACGTAAGAAGGAATGGGCACAACACTGGATCACTCGGGGCTTCACAGGTATGAGAACAAAGACTTGAGATTTGTAAGAAGCAATCAATTTTTGACTAATTTGATATTATTTTTCTTGCATTCCAGCTGTGGAGAAATTATTATCCTCAAGTGCTGGTAAGTACTGTGTGGGAGACGAGATAACGCTAGCAGATTGTTGTTTGGTCCCACAAATATTTAACGCGAGAAGGTTTCACGTTGATCTGAGACCCTTCCCGACTATCTTGAGGGTAGATCGTCATTTAGAAAATCACCCGGCATTCACTGCCGCTCACCCCAATAACCAGCCTGACTGTCCGCCGGAAGCGACCAAGTAGCAAGCGAGGCAGACCACCCTTTTCCTCTTCTAAATTAATAGAAGTACGAAAAGAGGTGGTCCGGAAACCAGTAGTTGGAAAGTGATAAAAAGTGGAACTGGCCGATTCGTTTGCATTCTGGAGTTATAAAGAATTTTCTATGATGAAAAAAAAAGAATATAAAATTATCATTTATAAAATGCAAGTATGTCGTCGTCCCCTTAGATTCGAAAAGATGCTAATTGAAATCGTGATAATCAAAAATGATACTGCGCGGCATTGAAACGAGCTTCGCTTATTCATTTAATTTGATGTATAATTTCTTGTTCGCGTGTCGTTTAGAGGATCTCTGTGATCAACAGACAGTGTGGCGGTAAGTGATTGGAAAAAAAATATTATTTTCTGCAGTTTTTTATAAAATCGCCTTATCTACCCGAAGATGGGTGATATGTTCACAGAGATCTTGCTTGTCACTTCAAGTGCGAACGTTACGTCTGATGAATATGAAATGTAGTCTTAAGTGAATTTCTACGAATATAAAATTTCCTTAAAAAAAAGAATAAATCTCACTGGCCACCTTTTATCGCTTGAAAGCTACAATTGAGCACTGAAATGGTTGCTAGTGGAACGAATTACTGAATATCTGAAAATGGTTTCTAACGGTACATAAACCGATCGAGCTCTACACTGTTGGTGTTTGCACAGTAAGACAAAAAAATGGAATTACCACGGCAACACCATTTCTGAGCTTACATAGGTAATAGAGATGTTGGCCTATTTTTTAGTTTTGTTATGTTTACTATTTCTTTATGTTCACGGTCAAAATTACAAAAATTCGTACATGTACAATATTCGCAGAATATTTTGTAAAATTTATTAACCTATTACAAATAGGTTTTGTTGCCTGAAATCAAAAGTTTACTTTTTATACTTACGATAATATTATTTCATAATTAATTCTGCATTGCCTTGGTTAGGCAGTGTACATCGCTATGAAGGAATAGGATACCTATAAGTTCTTTACTGAAGACGAAGAAGTTGTATAATCCAGTTTCATGCGCAATGGACTAAAATTGAAAGAATTGAACATAAATAAAATATCGAAAACAAAAAGAGAATCCATTCTGCTCAAATCATACCACGATACCCGAGGAATGAAAAGTACAAAACATCTCCCGTTCTAGAGTTTTCCACTTATAAGTACATTTCATTTCTCCCCGAAAAAACTTCTTTGTCGTACCGTGAAAGCTTAAGGGTTAAGAATTTTTAAGAATGCATAGATATAAATTCAATTTCAGATATATGTTTAATAGCATTCAATGTGTTTCATTTTAGTCTAAACTGTAGGGCAGTAGTGTGCTCAAATTTGACAATCTGCTATTGGGCTTCGATAACTTTTTATACGAATAGTTTTATAATGGACGATAAAATTATTTTAATTAGTATCCTTTTGAAGAGGGTCAGTTACTAAACTGTTTTATTTACATTTTTTAAAATATTTTACTACAATACATTTGTACTTGCGATTGTCCATTCCAATTCTTACATAAAAAGGTATAGTGTATATTAGTTATATCTTTGTTGTAACAATTTGAAATAATTACTTATGGTACTTGTAAGAAAAATTTGCTATCAATTTTGAGCGCACTACACGTTGAGCACAAGTACTTCTTCCAGAATGTATTCTCAAGTAAACTGCTTATTATTGCTCCTGTTCTATTTTATAAGCCTTTTACAAATGCTCTGCAATTTTATTACTATTATTTTATATAAAATATATTTACCGACATCAGTTCAATGAAATGAAATGTAAAGATAAAGTAGAGCGTACAGTTTCAGCCTGCATTGACATTTACTTTCATTTTACTTAAACGATTTCCACTATCGCTCTGGCATATTGTCAATGTTTTTGTATTCCGTTCTACTTTTATGTTATTTTCTTAAAATTGAAAGACGGAGGTATATTGCCGACTTACAGCATAATTATGATATGCTTATGAAAAGATTTTAATATTATTTGACTACACTATTTAGGTATCTATAATTTGACGTATTCCAAGCTTATTTCGTCATGCGATTTATGTATTTCATTATGTTTTGCTGTAAACAGGCAATACTCCATTACATAATGGAGAGTTTTTTTAAAGAAGGTTTACTCTTTTCATTATTTGTACTAAGAAGTCTGTTGTAACAATTTTAGTAAGTTTATCCTATCGCAGTATCCATGATGTATGCACACTCGCCAAGGCCTAATGGAACTATGAAATCTACTGTTCTTAGAGCAAACCATTGTGATAACAGAACAAAAACATAACAAGTAAATTTTTTTCCATCGAGTCACATTTAGACAAGACTGAAAAAGAACTCTCCATTATATTTCTCACGCTCTGTATTTTATTATTAAAGAGGTAATTGGTTCCTACACAAATAAAACATAGCCAGGCAAAGTGACAAGATCTAGGATGAACATTAGAAATTATAAGGAAAATAATAATGGTTACATTTATTTACAGTTATAGAAATTTCCTAATTCACCCAATATAAGTGATACCTTTGTCATACAATTTCCATAGACAGTCGTAAGAAGTTCTCTCTGATAGTACAGTACAGAGCGCCATGTATTTATTGAGATTGGATTAGGGCCCTTGTAGTATGATAAGATAGCGGCAACAAGAGTATTCGTTATTAAATTATCATATTGCATTTGTCCTAAATGAACTTTAGTTAGGAACATCTGGATAATATTGTAAAGGAAAATATGAGGCGGTTACACGAGCAACTGTGAGCCTGTATAATAATAGTAGTGATTCCTAAGCATAAAAGCAGTATGATATACATAGATATTTTATAAGTGAAAAATTATCATGTACGTTTATTGCTTATAGAGAATAATAAATTCTGTGTCATAGTAGACAAGAATATTTCTTACGGTATATCCTTTCCTGGATTCAAAAATCTTACAATATTAAGAACATATTATTTATTGTAATTTCGCTATATGAGTTTTAATTGTTATCAGATTAATATGCCTGACCGAAGGGACAGTTGTGCAAATTTTTCAAATTTTGTGATCGTGTCTACTGTTTTGTAAAGTGAGTCCAACCCAAAATTAAATTGTATGCTAACGTTTTATGTGGGTGATACTATAAAGGGTATATAATAAAAAGAATTATAATATACAATTTTGTGCCTTCATGTATAAAGTCGGGCGTTACTTCTTTCAATGTTAGTTATTTCAAGTTTCCTACCTGCTGTACCTCCCACCATCACCAAGCAGTCCACTGGGGTCCTCAAGGAACTGAACATTGGCAACTTTACCTCACATATGGAGGAGATGGGCAACGTAGGCGAACAGGCGTACGGAGCTCCCTACTTTTTTGAAACAAATGACGCTGCTCTGTTCAAATTACTTGACATAATTAACGCTCTATTATACTTATCTTAATCATTTACTGTATATACAATACACGAGTCTCTTGATACTTTCATCATGTGTGGGTGATAGATATCAATGATATGGGATATTGCATGAGATAACGTTTTGAACAAAGGGTCGAGAGGATCACCATCAGACCATTTCCTTAGCTATTGTCTTACTCTTATACACTGCCTGTCGTTGGTGCCTTTCTGACAGTTTCAATATTAATCTTCTTATTTATGTGAACTGACTATATTCAGATCGATAACCAACAAAAACACAAACCTTCGTTCGACCTGTTACTGGCATATCTCCCTTATGAGGAAGTAACCATAAAGAGAAGAAATACTCTTGTTCACTTACTACTAGTAAATCGTAATCCTCTCCAGGATGCATGGGAATTCATAAAGTCAAATGGAAAGAGGGCCTGTAATCAGTATTTCCATGGACCTCAAAAAGTCGTTATTTATAGATTACCGATTGTAGTTTGCAGCTATCGATTCATCTGTTTTACTGTTGCTTCTTTTTTTTTACTTACTACCTTATTCCTTTGCAGTACAAAAAGATTTGACAGAGATTTTCCCTTGTTGTCTTCCCCTAAAATTTATAGTCATTATAATATGTATCTCTATCTATTTTACTAAGCTAGAACAAAACGCGTATTTTAAACGTGAGAGAGATCAATTGTAATGCAAATTGCCTTGAAGAAATTTTTGAAAAAAGATATAGGAACGAAAAAAAAAGGAAACAGAATGAAGTATGTAGCCAAAGAAAGAAGAGATAAATAAAAAATCTTGTGAAATCTGCCCATTTCCGTGAGGCACTACTTCTCCATATAGGAGCTATTGTTTCGCCATGATCCAACTGAGGACGTGGTATCACAAATAGAAGTAATAGCTCAGCGGAAGATATGAGAAAATCAGGCGACACAAAGAAAAAGAGAGAGAGAGAGAGAGGTCGCGCAGGTAAGGGAAGGTCGCACATGACCAGGTGAATGGATCTGGGAAAAATGAAAGTTCCAAGCCAATACATTCCCTGTGTACCCCAACCTATGTATACTGACCCACGAATTTTGACTTCGGGAATTGTTGTTAACGTTCGGCATTCAGAATAAAGAACAAACAGTTTTCTGGGATATCCATACTCCATTTAGATAGGTAATTGCATTACAAGATAAATTATGTGTTATCGATCTCCTTGCAATTGTCGTAAATAGCATATCATACTTTTTTAAATTTGTTTTCCACTCTTAAAAATCATATTGACAATATCTTTATTTTAGAATCATTTTATAAAAAATACATTCACTTATTTACTGACTAGTTAAGGGTACTACCCTTTATAATTTTATTTTCCTACTCAAAATATTATGGAATGTGTAGACATCGAATACTATTCTTGATCATGAGACAGGCTAGTATATTTAGTATAACGTAATATATATGTATACTATGTCTATGTACATTCATAATTACACAGTTACAGTGTTATAGACAGTACTGTATTGTACAGAATCACGTAAGTCAATATTGACCGAGATCAAAAACACGTATCTATAGTATCATAAATTACGTAACTTTTCAAATCGTTTCTCACTCTTAAACAATTTCTTATCTATAGATAATCTTCCATTACCAATACTTTTATACAGCCAAATTTAATAGGTGATTCATTTACATCTGGCAAGATTCAAGTACGTTACTCAAGTAACGATTATAAACATTTAATACCGACGTGATATGTACTAGTTAACAATATTAGATAAAATATTTGACAAACGATTAAGTCTAGAAAATGATAACAGCTTATCGTAGCTTTTGTTTCAAATTTGTACGCTTGCGTGCGTATTATCATTTGTATGAATGTATAATGGACGTATACTATAAATAAAATCTAATAAAAAACTGAATGTGCAACTTTTGAGGGAAAAATTTTACACATATACATCCATGTAATCTTACAATAATTGGCTTCACAGAAAAAAATTAAATGCTGCGAGCTTTGTACTTTTTTTTTCTCAAAAATTGTTCATTTGTTCTTAAAAATCGTAATTAAACGTCACCATTTAATTGTAGTAATTTTGTATACCGTATAAACGTAACATACATGAATTGATAAATAAATCGTCACACACTGTGAAGACCTTCCGGATTTAGAAAACAACCTGGATTTATTCGTAATAATTACGTAGAATTAATGATTTGCTTATAATATACATTTTCCCATTAAACGTGACAGATTCACATAATTAATGTATCCTTTGTTTAGTATTTTGTCTAATGACCGCTAATTGCAAGAGTATCCTCATTAAAATCAAGAAAGTGTCACGAATGTGAGACAATGTGAAATGGTGACCTTAATGGAGTCCTCTAAATGGAGCAAATGGATGGATGGATGGTGGCTAGGTCGTGAAATGAAGAACAACAGAATGCATTTAATGAGCGATTGTTTATTATGCTCTTATGATCACTTGTCATACAGGTAACGATGCTTTTCATGAATGAAAATAGTTAATATATTATGTTTATTTATAATTATTTAACATTGAATGGAATAAATTGGTGATGAAAAAATAACAATTTGTTGATGCAAATAAATGTGGGTTAGAGAGTGTAGAATAATTATTAGAGTAGTTTTGTATGCTGCAAGTAACGACTAATTACACATTTACGGATAGTAATTGCGGTATCCAAATTTTGGACACTCCAGGAGGAGAAGGTGTATGTTTTAGTGGATGGATCTCTAAAAAATAAATATATTATTCTGAGATGCGTTGTCAATAAATAGAAAGATTCTCTATAGCTCTTGTAAGCCGTGCAATGCGTAATAACGTAGCACGGTCCTCATCGACTTCACCGAGTCGTTCCTATCCCAGGATGTCATACAAAACTTGCCATTATACACATTCGTCGTGACTTCTACCATGTTCAAAATACAATCGCGATACCACGCACAATTTTCCTCGTTAAACGAACAGCCACACTTTGCCTGGTTTAACGAATAAACGTTTTTTTTTTCCTTTATCCAATAATAATCCTGTAATTATTTTTTTTTCCGTTTATCACACCTTTCATTTTATTCCCCTTAGAAATTATCCATCATAACCCTCCCGACGAGAGATCCCTCCGTAAAACCACTGTATTCACTCCATTTCGTATATTTGTCTCCCTATAGGAAATTCAAACTGCGTACTCTGCATTCAGCCAGATACCAATTCACAGCGTGACGCAATAGGTCACAAAAAAACTGGATAGACGCCCAAGATTGGATTACAAGCGAAAACTAGATTAATCGACTACAAGGAATTTTGTGCTTATTGAAAAAAGAAAGATGAAAAAAAGAAACAATCGTTTTACAATATAATACCCATAAGTTTCTCGTGTATCACGCACGCAACAGGATCTTTACTCGTAAACCATTCTGGCTAGATCAGAGGATCACAATATGACAAGGAGCCTACGTTACCATCGATAAACGCGAAACGAGTTATCCAATTGGATGACAAAGTAATTGACGACGGTCGATACCAATCCCCATTACGATCTATAATTTATTACCGCGATCGACAATGTGTCCTCGAGTGAAGTTGTGGATCACTCGAGCAACGATAACGATAGAAATCAATAACGCAAATTTGCCGCGATCGTGGATGGTAATAATGGGCTCTCCGAAGTCACGAGAGATACTTGATAACACGGTTTAACGTGTGACGCACAAGAGTTGATTTCTTAAATTACATTATAGCCAAAAGGAATGTAAGGTACAATACTTGATCGTACAGCCGCAGTGCCAACTGGCTCTACGGTCTTCTCTGTGCAGCCGGCAGCTTGCATTATTTGGATAATCATCAGAATCTCACGTTTATCCCAAAAACTAATCGAGCTCGTCTGCACCGAGACGGGATGCAAAGTCGTATGTACTACCTTGCCAATGCGGATAGAGTACAAAGGACAAGGTCGCGTTGTATCTGATCTGAAGAAATTCTCTTCGAAACGTGTATATGGACGTGTAACTCGAGTAATCTAGCACGGGTACGTCTTACTGTACATATCATTCGTGTCTACAATGTGTGAATCAGTGTATCTGTCAGTGTTTATGCATGCACGCACGCACGCACGCACGTGTCTTGTATACACGTGTGACTTAGCTGTATAACTACTTATACTCAACAAGGTACTTAATATTCTTTTTTGTCCCCGAGCTGCTATGTGCTATTTCTACCTCAACAACGATCTCATCCAGATTTTTACATATTCTTACTCGATACAGTATACCGTATTTAACAGCCTAAGCCTAGCTCTCACTTCCAATAAAATAACATTACGTACAATTTTGTACAACCCTCCTCGCCATTTGTAACGTGCGTACAAATTACGTGGATTATAATGTCGCCATGATAAGTGTATATGGAATCGGATGGATCTGTGGAAATTCTTAAGTTTACAATGATTCCGATAAACGAAAGAGTATGCTGATTATATTGACAGTTGAATCAATGATTTTTTGGAATTTTAGAACGCTGAGAAAAATTTGGAAATTTCTGACAAACAAATACAACTTTATCGCCATTAAAATCATTTAATCTAAATCTAGGCTATGGTTTGTGTTATGGTCTGAATTAACAGTCACGTCCAAATTATTTCGATACTGGAACATTTTTTTGATTTCCTTCCGGCGAAGCATCGCAAAATATAATGTACGAGAAGCGACGTTGATCGTAACGGCAAGTATTATGGAATTTGAAAATTTCCGTACGAATATGGTAAAACCATCCGATCGGGAATCATAGTGTTTATGAAACTCGCGAGTGACCGTCACTTTTACTTTTAAATCTTTCATTTGCATATATATATATTACTTTGTTTTTTGCCCGTTATGTCGTCAGGGTGCGATTGATGGTTTCTTACAATTTAATTATATATAGATGTGTGATGACAACGCACAACAATGTAACAACTCTTTGCGCCTAATAGAATGTCTGTATGAGGTCGCTTCTGTGCAATTTCATATACTTAAGGATAAATTGAATTTCCTCGAGGCTTCTCATCCGTTTCTCTACATATAACAGCGTGATCTGTTCTATTGTCAATCAATGTAATATAATATATAATCCTCTGTGATCATTATTTCTCTCTATAAATGACTTCTCGCATTTCTTTTATATAATATAATATAATTTTTTTTTCCCGTAATTTTGTGATACCGTGACATTTTCATTTCTCTATTACAATTATACAATATAATACCTCAACCGGTTGAACGTTTGATTACAGTAAGTCACGGAAAGTAAATGAAGAATCAAAAAATATTCGAGTAGTCAGAACGAGCAATTCCATGAAATCAAGAAAGATTATTCACCTAAAAATAGTTCTACGACCAGATTAAAAAATATATATATATATATATATGCCGAACAGCTAAAAGCCATTGAAGCGAGGATATGCGATTAAAAAAATGACAATTAATTTTAAAAATCACTGCCGAAACTATAAGTTAAGAAATTACGCACAATGCATATTCAGCACGTTACATCGTGTCCAGAATTAATTAGCGATTTTACTCTTCCTGTTCATTAAAAGTTACTGACCTAATGTATATTTGTTTTCATCCTGTACCACCGTACTTCCATTCGGTTTTCACATCTGACACGGACGATGTACAACTTCGCATCTATTATAGTAACTACACACTTCAGGGATATTATCGAACAGTTTGATTTATTTGATAACCCTTTGTTGACTAAAACTATTTTACGAGTAACCACTTGGTCGTACAGCGACGACTAAACCCATAGGTATAACACGACAGCTGTACGCGAACAATACAAGCGAAATCTACAATAGCACTCAGCGTTACAATAAAGAAATCATGAGGAACGCCAAGATATTGCCGCTCGACAGTCAAAGATGTCGTAGAATAATTGCAACGGCAACAAAGGGTGCAGATTTCCGTATCGCCCGATACTTTGGTGTTAACTCCTCCGAAATTCTATCGACACGACCAACTGACGTAGCTCGCAGCAGACTGCACAAGCCCAATAGATTGAACAGACATCAGGGTGTGCTCTCGCACCGTCGGACAATGGACACCAAGTATAAAATTCGAAATAAACGAATATTCCGCCTTTATTCAAAAAACAGCCTACACATCGCAGAAAATACATATCTTTAACAACTCGCTTCACTACTGTCAAACGTTAACAAGTGTGGCCGGTCGGGGTAATTGGTAATAAGGGAAGATGATGTAACATATGGCACTAGAGTGATTGTGGTGGAGCGTAGTGACGTGAATAATATTTTCATCTTGTTGTTGCTCTTGCTTTCGTTTGTCTTCCTTCACTTTTTTTCCCCTCTCTTATTTTTCCTTCGCGTATCTTACTTTCTCACGATACGGGGTGTCTCGAATATACATGTATATCGATGTCGATATTACGTCCGGCTATTCTATGCGAATTAAGCAACGCCCTCCGCTCCTCGTTAACACGTTAACGTTCGTTTGTTTTTTAAACGGAGAATGATTGGAATCTATGCAATTCGAGTGAAATGTATGTACGATGGAATTATGAATCGATGACGTAGCCTAGCACACACAGCCAAGTAATGCGACACGCGAGCCACGTAAATGTGGCGAAGATGTGTGTCGAATTCAATAAATCGTTTATCACGACGGGTACTTAATGTTAGATTTGAGGCGAGTCGATGCAATTCCTACGGTTCCCTGATTGCTACGCTACATCGCCACGTGCGAGAGAATAATTATTTACCCATTTAGTTAGATACTTCAATTGTTTATTAATTTATTGACTAACTCGTCGAACCCGCGATGATCATTTTAATACGAGATTAAAGAGACTACCGAATGCTACGCGTCTACGTCTACAACTTGTATACAACTATGTAATTTCATGTATGCGTATCCATGTGTACATATATATAAATATTGTATATCCTTTATTTATATATACATATTAATACGTCATGCATTTAATAATAATAAATCGATGCGCTCAATGAATTATGTCCGACTGTACAAAACAAAAGGATGAATAATAAGATAATAACAGTACGGTACAACGAGCAATACAACTATATGTATATTATATTTTTACGCTATATATACATATATCTATACTGCCAGCGTATCGGCGTTATTTTTTTTACGTTGGTTTTAAACAACTCGTAGATACTAATCAACGGGCCAACCAGTACTGCGTCACCACTTTTTATAGGAACCTCTATGGCTTTTACTGCAAAAAACTGTCCAACGTGACGTAACGGACGTCACGTTCAATCATTATGGACCAACGCTATTGGAATTACATTGGCCAATGGGATCTGAACAGTGGAACCGTTCAACAGACAGGCACAGACATTGAACGGTATAATCGGTACTCGACGTATCTTACATCCGGTGATGAAACGAATTTAGGGTTATATATATGCATATATGATAACGGAGTTATATCGATAAAGTTTTGAAAGACAAATCGCGAAAAAGATCAGCCGTCCATCTGCGGAGAAGACGCTTTGAATCCTTGGACAATTTTTCACTGTGCAGCCCGCGCGTATAATATATACATATATAAATTCATGTATATATATTTCTCTAAGCGTTCGTTTAACACACGGGAATTTGTCACACAAGAGGAGTGTACGCACGTACTTGAATAATTTATTGTCCGAAAGGAATTCGATCGACACATGAGAATCCATAGTTAAGCTTTTTGAGATAGATGATCCGTATAGAAGGTATCGTTAAAAAATAATAAATCCCCAATAACGAAGGAATAAATGTTTAATGTGATTTAATAACGACGCTCTTAACTTTAACACCGAAACTCGGCACGGGAATAATAGTTCCTATATTAGTGTAATAACAGTAGTAAATAGTAGTGTAATAGTACTAGCAGTAGTAGTAGACTGGCTGCCCACTCTATACTCTATATACATATCTCTGTGATTCTTACCGAGAGACTGCGATCGAGGGCTGTATAACCGCGGCGTTAAAAGAAAACCAGCTTCTCAACATTCTTGTTGGCGTCATGAGTACAAGTAATAGCGACCTTATGTACAAATGCGAATACTGTCAGCTACGCAGAAGGAAGCTCCGTGCTTGATCTGTCCTCGCATCGGCGAACTTTTCGTGCCATGGAGGAGCTACTTGTCCTGCGCAAAGAAATTCCTACATTTTTACGCAACAACGTTAATATACGACGTGGCGAATACGTCACGTACTGGCCTGCTGTGTTTGTCGACTGTTTGTCTAGATCTCAGTTAGCCATGTGTCAAAATAGAGAGGTTACTCTAATAGTAAGCATGGGACAAACGGGGAATGTTTGACAGCAATGGGTGATTTTGCAATTGATACTGCGTTGGGAGTTATTCTGGGAGATTTTATGGGCTTGGGTGATTGAGGATGCAACGGGTTGCCCGCGACTTCGTTTTTACCTACGAGTTGCTGTAAAACCAGACTATGTGATGTTACGATTAAACGAATTAAGCCTTAAAATCGTGTTGCGATTTTCATATATAAATTAAATGTGACGAGCTATATATAATATCCGAGCTCCAACCAACGATTCTCTTGTTGTCAATTTCACGCTCGATCAGGGCTTTGGAAATTTAAATGATTCGAATGATTATTTGCGTTCGTAGAGCACGCCAAATGATCGTTCGCAATACAGATTCTAATATGCAACACCATTCACACATCCTTCCAACAGGATATCTATGCATATCATCACAACGATATATAGAGACGCTTCGACTTTATGAAAATAGATAACTTGCATGATTAAAAAAAGACGGAAATAATAATAGTAATAATCAAATTACCAACAACCTATCGTCACTAACACGATTCTATGTGTAAAGTTAGTTTAGTAAAAGTATGAATTTGCCTGCCGGCGGTCCGATGAAATTAAATTGCTTTTAACTGTTTTAGTCGAGGGAGAAAATGGCAATGCAACGACAATGATACTATTTAGCGCGTGTAAGTCTAGTGTGATGACGCTTGTGTGGTAGTATCTTAATGAAAAACAGTGTGTATAATCGATATAAACAATTATGCATTAGTTGGTGTAGATGGCTTAGGTGCCATTAACAACGCGCTCACATATAAGTTAGTGTTAATGTTAATGCTATAAATTACATTAATATAAGATGATCTATCTGAATTTTTTTGAATCAACCTAACTAATACCTAACGATATTACTCTTCTATATATGGTATTTATCAATATAATCGGGGCAACACAGCGAAATTTAATCGTTAATAGTTTACATAGAATTTATGAATAAACGTAAAATTTGTTTCCTTCCTTCGCGGACGCAAATATGTTATCAACAATATTTATAATATCATTCAATTTCTTAAATTTATATATATATATTTATATATATATTATATATTTTTTATATATTTCATTTATAATTCAGATAATATGAATTCTCTTTTTTTTTTGTAATAATCTAAGTTAACCTTCTTATATACGTATATATATACTCGTTATATATATATATATATATTTATATTTATCTCTCTCTCTCTGTTATATATTATTATTAATAATGTTATGCCATATTTATAAATATACAAGTCGTTATTTTAAAGAGCGGTGAGCCAGCGCCTCCAGCTACGAATTGTACTTGAGTACAGCTATAACCGAATTCATATACATTTTGACTCTACGACTAAGTTTTTTCATTTAAAATCATTATTCTTTTATTATAACATTTATTGGTGGCCGCCTATATGGGGTCATTCCTCCCTATGCCTACCCTCGCAAGAAACCACGATTTCAGAATCTTCTCCATTTACCGGCAAACGGTATGTGTCTTTCGTGCGCGAAAATTTCTAGGACAGCGAGGCTCTATCGTGATAACGATTTCAGCTTATTGTTAAATTAAAAATCCTCCGAGAAGCGATTCAGGAATATCATTAGCAGATGAGCATATTCAAAGCATCATCTCGAAGTGATATTAAAATGACGAGGAAAAGTAACAGTAGCGAAATTCGATAATTATATCTCTTTTGCTACACGCTTTGTAGACGATCGAAGTGTACTTCGTAAAAAAATAATTACGTTTGTCTATCATACAAGGAAAATGTTTTAAGTTTGCCGGAATTGCTTTACGAGTACTGACATAATGGTTCTTTCTTTTGCGCAGACACGCGAGTCTCAGATAGTCATGAGAAATCAGACGATAGATTCGAGTTGCACGCGCGCGTGGCCGTGCAGTGACAATTTTTTCATTTCCGCACGAAAGTGGTTACTTTTCGAAATTCGATATTCAAGTAAAATAAGACTCTAGCTACGTTGAAACTGGTTTAGTCATTGATGACTTTAGTAGGTAGATTACTGCATCTCGATGAAAATAAATATTGGTATCTGCGATTTATACGTCTCTCCTCTGTTGTAAGCCTATACTGCGTATGGTATGGTATATTTCTATGTATCCGTTTCCGGTAAAATATGTATTATATACGCGAATAGTTTAGTAATCAATGCAACGGCATCAGATAAGTATGTATTTGAAATTGAGTAAATTTCTACCTCTTGAAACAAAAAAAGATCAAGCCAAAGCTTACAAGGATTTACAAAGCAGTCAAATCGCTCTGTCAATATGCATTGTAATGTTCACCTCGTTATCTTACTGATCGCGCGCTTAATGCGGAGAAAAAGACTATGATGTTTCTCTCTGCAAGCGTAACTATTCGTTTGAATTTTATTCGTGCAACAACGTCGGAAAAAGTATATGCTATGTCTATAAAAAAAAATAACAGTAACAAAATCATGTATGCAAATACGATGTATTGTACGGAATGAAACAAGTGCCGCTACTTGAGACACAATTAAAAATATGGAAACAAAGGCTGAGAATGAATGTCGACAATAGGAAATGATATTTACGGAGCTGGACCAGCCAGCTTTCAAGATACAACAGACTTTAAGATCAGTAACTTAAATCTCTCCTGATCTGCACGTATAAAATCTTTGGTATTGTCAAATTGCTACTCTCATAATTTCTCTCTCTCTCGCGCTCTCGCTCTCTCTCTCTCTCTCACACACATTCCGTTACACTACCTAAGGAATTCTTCAGATAAACACTATGGATTCGTTTCGTTCAGCCTGATCGTTTCTTGTGTCAAAGGGTTTGTTAAATGTAATGTCTGCAAGCACGCATCTGAAGGAAACAGAGAACGACGGAACCGCTATTTAAAATATTTTACGGATTCAGATAAATATATCTGCTATTATAATTGATTTTAAAGTTCGTTTAACCACATACAACTGTCGCGAGTCGGTGGTCGACCTACGTAAAGATGTGAATGTAATAAATTCCTTTCGCGCGTACCTTCGAGGATTTGAAATAGTTTTTAAAAAACCAGAAGGATTACGAATTGATCAGGCGTCTGATGTTTTTTAAAGACAACTCTGTCTAAACAATGTTACCCCGTTTAATTCATAACAGTTTCACTGTGCCACCTTTCGAGTACCCTATACCAATATAACTAGATATATTATGTGGCTCTGATGTGGTGTACAGTTTTATGTGTGATAAAACCCCGTAACGTGGTGTATCACAGAACAATTGTTGTAGTTATTATATATATATATATATATATATATATATATATTATTCGTATCGTAAGAATCTTAAAGATAGATAAATGTCAACGAGCCGTGATGGATGCATGGATGGTGATGTGACGATTCAAGCGCTATAGTGATACAGCGATAGGTGACAACGGGTGGTAATAGTTTGTGGTAAGGTAATCGTGGTAGGTGGTTTTGGTGGTGATGTCGAGTGTCAAGAAAAGGGAAGAGTGGGAGCTACCCTAAAGTGTTAAAATGTGAAGAGGTAAGCTGAGCTCAATAAATGGGGATGAGCGAGAGTGCGTTCAAGAGAATCAATGGATCATGCCGGCAATGGCATTGTGACGCGCTCGCTTGGCTTCCTCTTCGCTGATCCGATGCTCGATCAGGTATTGAGCAGTGCCAATCGCATTGGGAAAACCCGTGATAGTCACTATACGGTTCCTTGTACCAGGCGCAAACATGCCCTTCTTAGAGATTTGAATGTTGGCGCCACTTAGGTTCTGTATCTCAACGAGGGCACGACCGCCGGGTCCAAGAATGGCTCCCACTATAACTTCTGCAATTTCTATATCTACTTTCTTGGTCTCCTTGTTGTTGGCGTCTACCTGAGTAGGACTCTTACTTACGAGTGACAACTGGTTCGTGCCCAACCCAAACGAATTGTTGTTCAGATGAATGGCACTGGCGGCAGTGTTGTTCTGCCTGAAGGGATCGAAGGGCTCGTATCTATCGAGAGTGTTGCGCGGTGTAGGTGAGGTCGATCCAAGTGTTGGTACTGTCCCTATTGGTCCGAATACTCCACCATTGTTATTCGAACCATTGGCAGTCGTAGTACTGTCCATAGGGGTTCCGAGGTAGCTCATACTCGAGGACATGCCAATGCCCATGCCGAGTATATTGTATTTAGCGAGAGTGGCGATGGCCGCCACGATCTCGGTAATTGCGGGCTCCAAAAATCCTGTAGTTCGTAGATTCAGCTTTATATGCTCCAACAACTGGGTGGTGACTGGTTCGGTGCCTGCTGTTATGGCAGCACCTAGGTTCAAATTAAGGCTCAGGCCAGCACCGTTCAGAAGGCTCACTGCAAGAAACGTATTTTGTAACAATATGAAACCCATTACGCCCTTATATATATATATGACGCGGTGTTCAATTTGTTTTACGCGAGAATACTGAGATTTTGAATAGTACGCGTTCACTCTGATCTAATAATTAATGATATGAAAATTTTTTAAATTGACAAACGATAAGATACGACAGGCAGTTACAATAAAAAATTTTTAATCAACAAACAGAGAGATGACATTAATCCACTCAATATGAAAAAATTTGCTATTCTATACGTTAATATCATTATATGACGTATATGACTGTCGACTTAGATCTACATTTATTTAATGCGCATTTGATAGCCTTGCGCGCTATTAACAATGCAGCATGTAATTTGCCAGTGTTATTTGCCGCAATGGTTAAACACGCATGAGCAGCAACAATGCGGAATAGAGAATGTCACTGTGGATGTCAAATAACAGTACACAGCAGAGCACATTATCCCGCCGCTGCATACAACCGTCTAGCTAGCTCTAGCTAAGTCTCCTTGACATTTTCTATTTCATGGCTTTGGGTAGTAAAATTAATTACGTGGTCTATGAGTTAAACACATTTGCCTTCTGATGATTGCGTAAGATAAGCAAATCCTTGGTGCGGATTACCGTACAAAGAGCGTGGAATACGTCACAGAAAATAATGAAACTTACAAACTATCTAAAAACGTGAGTTGGGCTTACCCGTATTGAGGCCAGTAGTCGAATTGTACGTTGAAGTACCTGCTGGAGCTTGGGCATATGGACTTCCGGTTGGATTATAGTTGGCAACTGGACCACTGACGTCCGCATAACTGACATTGGGACACGTACCACTTTGCGGGTCGTCCGCTACTTTAGCCAAAATCATCAGCAGAGCATTACGGTTATTTTCTTTCTCCCCGATGACCGTAATGCAACGTTCTTGAAGAGACAAGTCCTTGGCTTTCTGACTTATTTGAACGTAGGAACCAGATTCTTCTTTAATTTGCTTAATATAATTTCCAGCTTTTCCTATGATCATACCCGCCGTGCTATTAGGCACTAATATTTTCACCTGAAACAAAGGATCGATATTTTTTGTCTCAGATCATTGTGATTCACTGGATATATCTTAATGGTCGAAATATGTGGTAAATGTTTTCTGTGGTGGTACTTTCATAAAAACTATCGCTTTCTGAAAATATAACCTTACATAATATATATGACGATTATATGTGAAAGATATAGATATTGTAAGGTTTTATACGCTTGAAGAAATCGAAATCCATCTTACATAGTGACAGGTGCTATGGACAGTGATAGAAAGTACGCTTATCTCTCCAATATATATATTGTATACATTAGATTGTTAGATTATTAGATGATATATATAGAAACAATAATGACAAGACTACTAGTATAATTCTTATGACAGTATGACAACATTTCTCCTAAAGTGTCAAACACACGCACGCACGTGATACTTGTAAGTCGAAATCAATTCAATCATAAAACAATCTGTATCGGCGTGGATCAAATGACGTACGTTGTATACTCAGCACCACGGTTTGATAAAATGCACGCGATGAATGGTTCAGCAGCACAGGGTATTTCAATTTAGCTGGAGAAAAGTCCCTTGTACATACATATCGATTCATGGTCTTCGATACCCAAGGGATTACTGACATAGTTAAAACGATTTTCCTACAAATTGGTATCATTCAATGTTAGATGAAATACTATGGCGCATTGCACGTTTCAGATCATTAACCATACAAGCACTCTCTAACTGGGTCATTGCTAGCAAGCAAAAGTTATATACTATGACTTCACTAGTAGCACTGTAGCTGCTGCTGCTGTTGCTACTTGCTGGACACGCTCAATTTCACTTGACACTTGGTAGTGCGAGCAAAGTGAACATATAATTCCCATTATGCAGTATATAAATTATGCATTCGCAGTAATGATTCTAGAACAATAAAATGACAGTCTAATCTTAGACCCGATTTATATTAATCGACACTCTTTTATGAATCTCGTGAATCCCTTCTGGTTTACATGATCAATAGAAATTAATTCACAGAAAGCCATCCTGTCCTAAGACATTAAATTACTGGGTTCAACTCATTTTAATAATATTAAGTATCGTCTTCATACCTCTTATTTGTTTCATTTGAAGAGATCATGTTTATCCGGTCTAGTTTTAACAACAGTCAAAAAATATAAACAATCTGGCCCGTTGCAATATGGTATCTTCAGAGATATAGGTCACACACCCACTTGACCTCCTCCATGCGTTATCTATAGTGTATTATAGTGTCTAAGCCAAGTAAATAATACTAAGAGTTTGTGTAGTGGCGATGTTAATGAATATTCTATGAAAACGACTCTGTGCGTATGAAAGTAACACGCTCACGCAGACTATAACTCTTGTACAATACGCACGGAAAGTTTTGAACATATAAGAGAGAGATAACATAAAAATTAAAAAGCCTTGGTATATTTTTCTATGGTTTATAAAGAGAGAGAACTCTACTTCACGAAATATTCTGCCTAACGAAGCCTTAACGACACTCAAGTAGGGATTCCCGTAAACGGATTTTTACTTTCTCACAAGACGCTACTCTGAAGTGCGTCTGCTGCGCGTATTACACGTGAAGCCTACCTACCAATTGTTATTATGAATATTAAGATGAAAAGATGCGTTTATTACATTTAATACCTGCTTGTCTCTCTCTGCCGTCGTTTTACCAGAGTCGAAATCAACTGTGGTTTTCGACGTGAGATCTGGCTTCTCACGAATTTTCTCCATTATGAAGTCCATGACGGCCATTATAGCATCAACGCTTCCAGTTATCAAACACACTCTCTCTGTGGTTCCTGAATAACAATAAGAAAAAATGACACGTATAAAATTGCCTTATTAAAGATATTAAATAATTCTGACTTAACGTAGCTCTGTTGCTCCAGAATTTTCCCAAGAAAATATTGTATGTTCACACCGTGTATCCTCAATAAATCATGTCCAGATTTGCCATAGAAAGCGTCAAAGGAATCTAGTTGTTATGTAATACTCACTACTCATTGCTATACTCGCTATTCATAAAGGCATTTACGTCCATCGGGACTTTCCACCGTCTTACCTGGATAGAAATCATGGGATTTGGACATTTTGACCCTAGCCCCCGTATCCTTCTGTAGTTGAGCAATGGTCTCTCCGCCTTTCCCAATGATGGCTCCTGCAGCCACTCCTGGGACCAACACTTTGAGATGATACGTGCCATCTCCTCCTGTAAAATTCAACGTAATATCTTAGCACTAATTAATCAGATATGCTACAATACAGGGAAGTAGAGTCCAATTGTATGGAACGAACGTGCGCATTTAATGAGTTATGCGTCACAGTAACGGGAGAATCAGCTATAGTCGGGAAAGTCAGTCAATTTTCAGTTACAAAGATAAGTAAAACGGGAGTTTCGTTAATGAGTGACCGAGTACAATGGAACATTTCCCTCAGCGCTAATTAATAATTTTAGTATAAACAATATAGAGCAATCCATTGCGCAAGATTCTTGCTGATCGTGTTATCGTAATAGCCTTGACATTTTTTGCTGAACTCTTAGTCGCTACTTGTTCTAGACGACGCCTAAGTTTATTCATAATTCTCTATTTTTGTTTATATTATAATCTCAATAATAGCAACAGCTACAGCACGGCTTTTGAGAGTACAATAATCATTGCCAAATGCTCCCACACGCAAGTCCCTGGTGTTGTACATGATAACGTTGATTTAAATATTGTCAAGTATGTTCCAGTAGTTTAGTAAAGAAACTATAAATAAATATGATAAACTATATCAGAGGATAACAAACATGTAGTAATAAAGATGAAAAATAATTGTTTGGTCTGTGACACGAAATCAATCATTTTATCATAATTACTATTTGATCATTGGTGCATACGTTACTAAGTTGGAGGTAATCTATTGGTGATAACAGGATCCCAAGACGCAAGTTCTCTCGAATTGCGCAATTTAGATTACATCATTAGTTCGCAATGCTTATAATTGCCTGATAAAAATAGAATGGCGATTTGGCCTTGCAGATTTTTTTTTTGTTTCTATACACGGAATGCATTTCATCTTGAGTTTTTCAAAAGTTTTTTTTTCCCCATTCACGAAAGTAGAATTTCCGTTCTTCGTGGATATGATGGTTCACTAAAATATTTCTCTTTAGAGCATGCGTTATAATATCGCAGGTCAATGCGTTATCGTTTATATAGACTTCCTATTAGACCGCGTTGCGCGGTAAATGTAAAGTAATCATTCAATAATTATGTAAAATTGAAAGAATAGCCTTATGAAAAATTACCCATAAATTATATGGAATAAATGAAAATAAAATCGTGGAAGGATTAATTTATAGTGGAGTAAATAATAGGACACATAATATATACACCGTTAAAAGGTTTATTGAAACGAGGTTCCAACAATATAGTTTACACTATAATGACTAAAAACATTGCTCTTGGAATAAAGGAATATTTAATGACTAAGATAAAGTACATAATAAAATTATTGAGACGAGGAATGAAAGTGAGCTAATGTTTGAATATTGTGTCAAACCTGTTGCCATCCTTCCAGAAAGGAATGTGAAGTAAAATAAAGATGCAAGCTTTAAAAATTATGCCGAGCCATAGAAAGGCAAAACATAGATATGGAGTGAATTCTAGTAAATGATTATGAAATAGTTGATACATTCTGTAAGATATTAGTAAGTATTGTCACAGAAGTACGATTAAATTTTATTTATTTAAAAGCTACTAGAAAATCAAATCCAATAGAATTTCGAAAAAGATACATATGAAATATTTATATTTAGCTAAACACCAATATAAGAATAATCATGATGGCGCTCACTTGTAGCAGATAAATTCAATGTTATTAAGTACTATCATATTTTTTTCTAAGTGACTCGTAAAGTATTATGTGGTGGAAAACAATCTTCAATGCATAGTGAGCAGTTAGTTCTTGTAACATATGGTTACGCACCGCAGTAGCTTGAGAATTACAATGTCAAATCAGCAGACATCATTGTGTGTCTTATTGCACATGCAGAACAGAACTATGATACTTGTAATTTCTAGTCTCCTGTGGCATCTCAATGGTCTATGGCTTTCACATTATATTATGTGATTATGCAATAATTATCATGACAGTTTCTATATACTCTTGCAAAACATTTCTAGCAAGTAGCCTTTGAAAAAAACATACTCGAAGCTATTTAAAAATACTGCAAATCTTTTCACAGCTTCATGGTTCTCTAATAGTTTATTTGTTGTGATATGAGCAGATATTTTTCAGTTATGAAATATAAATTAAAGTTATGTGGTTAATATGAAAACTTTTGTATGATGACGCAGGTACGAGTGTCTTGATATATGCAATTTGAAAACTCAGATGACATAACTACATAGAAACCAAAAAACAACAAAGAAACATAACTTCCTCTCGTTACCTCTAGTCGGTACAAGAGTGTCAATACAGTGACCATGTAGAACATTATTAGGAACTATAATTTCCTTTAGACATTCTTTGTCACTTATCGATATACATTATAATGATCAAGAAGCAAAACAAGAGTTTCAATAGCAATTCGAAGAAACAAACGGTTGTACATGAGGCAAAGTTGCATAAAAGACTTTACGTAATGTATATAAGAGTGTCAATAAATAATGTTTGTTTTATTACTTCCTGTAGCTAGTAGAAGTCTATCAAATAAAATGTAACAATAGGTCAAACTTTAAGCAATGAGGAAACATTAGTTAGTGAATTCAATATAATGAATACAGAGATTATACCAATCGAAGCAATAGGCTTCGACAAAGGAGTCTGGTATATCCAAAATGCCCTAGCATGAATGTACCTGGCTCTGCCATCGAAGTTCATCCGTAGATAGCTAGATAGCGATGAACCTTCCTAGCTGCTTCCTTTGAAAAGCTAGTGCTCTACACCTTGCACATACAAGATGTTGCGAGAAGAGCCCTGGCACAAGAAGCGATGGTACGATCGAGTAGCAATCGGTGAGCGATCCATAGGGGCGCTATCGCGAGCCACGCAGTGCGAATATGACAGATTGACGATGAGTAGCAGCGCGATAAGAAGAACAGCAGGTAACGCGATACAGTAATTATGAGCGCATAGAGTTATGCATGATGTCGTGAAACTCGCGAGAACCCTCGCAAACCGTGGAGGGAGAGCAGTGGTAAAGGTAGGGCGAGCGAAAATTGCAACGTCTTGAAGGTCCGAAGTGGCAAAGGCAAACAGCTGTTTGACAGATGGAAGCCCGTGTCGCTCGCTCGCTCGCTCCGACCTTGACCCGCGACCTCAGAACGGTGGCTGACAACTCACCGATACGCCACATCGTAGCACCGCCGTTTCAGCAGGCTCTTTAGCGTAGCGGCCGGGGTGAGCCTCGAGGACGATGTATCCGGGGAGACGATACTTGCTCGCGGGGAATCAATTGCACGCGCGTTCACGACGCCGATGAGCTGAGCAGGAGGAGGATAAACTTGCAGAGTCACGGAGCGCGCCGAGTCGCGGCGATCCTCCATTAACGACGAGCAGGGCGGTCGCCCACGCATCGACGAACGTCAAATTCAAAACACACACTAGGAGGGTTCGAAAGAGGGATAGGGAGAGGGACAGAGACAGAGAGATAAAGAATGACAGATAGAACGAGTGTGAACTAGAGGGGGACAGAGACTGAGCGCGCGGTGGAACCGCCGCGCCGCGAGGACGACAGACGTGGCAAAGAGGATGCGCGAAACGCCGAGGATCGTTCCTCAATCATTCCAATATTTCTCTTCATTATTCTCTCCCGATGTCCCGTAAAAATGTAAACGAATGGACTCGTACGAAGAGAGCGGCCAGACGTGTCAACAGCGACGTTGGCAATTGTCAAAACTCAAGAGATAGAAAGAGAGGAGAGCGCGCGAGAGAGAGACAAGAAGAGACGACATGACGACCACCGAGCGGGTTTCTTTTGCGAACGATCCTCGAACACTTCGCAGAATAGAGGGACGATGGCGACGCGCCTCAAAATACCTGATCCGTAGTGAGACCTCTTCGTCGCGCCGTTTTCCACGTCGCAGTCGAGTGGCCGCTTCCTGGAGTCCGCGATTTCTGGGGAGGGACACGTCTCCATTCCCGAGTCAGCGGCCATCTTGCTTCTTCTTTCGCGCACACAGAGACAGAGACGGACGCAGACGACTAACGCGGGCAGTTGCCGCTCTTGTCAAAATTGTCACACTCACCGTTCAGTACCAAAAAACCAATCACAGAATTTTCCTCACGAGCGAATTGTCGAAACGGTATAACGAACTGACGGACACGCTCGCTCGCGGGCTGCCGCGTCTCACTGGCGACTGCTCGCGGCTCCCTCGACAACCAGCTGGTTGATACTCCGCTCGCGGTGGCGGCGGCAGTTCGTAGCGTTCCGCTCTCTCGTTCTCTCCTTCTCCAATATTTCACTCCGGCCTTAGCTCCGCCTCTCTCGCACCCCTGCACTATCGCGCGGGCAACGTCGCTACGGCTCGTTCCTCGCCGTCCAGGGACGTAACGCCTCACACGGAATTCGGGGCTCTCACGACCTGGAAAAACTGGGTCCCTAGCGATCGTCGCTCCACCAAGGGCTCCAATTTATCTGCAGTGTCGCTCGCACTTGCCCGCGAGCTTCCGTACGATTTATATCTTGGATTCACCTTAGAATCTTTTTATTGTTCAAACGAGTACAAGCCGTGTTTCCGATAGATACTATTTTCATCCACTGTATACCTATACCAGGCACATTTATCCCCTATGGATATGCACGCGGCTGCTATACACGTAGCCTTTACTGCGTATACACGTCCGGGCGAACTAATGCGCCTAACTGTAATGTCAAATGAAATGCAACGCTAAACGTCATCCTCTCCTCGAAAACCGTCTCGTGCTGATTCTTTCAAGTCGACGATGCACTTCCCTGGGATTATGTTATATAATGCAGAATTAAGGTGTGCTTGATTGCCGTCGATTATATGCTGAAACATACATATTTACCATGACATGAAATGCCGTTGCATTACTCATCAATACCTACTACCACTGCTCTGACATCATGCGCGGAATAGGCTCCTCGTGTCCAGCCTTTTGATTTTCCGTCTTTTTGTATTTGGAACGGATCTTTCCGTCAGGAGGATTTATCTCTTCATACATATATGCGGACCTTATACACTATATACACTATATACACGTAGAACCATAGGTATACCTTAGAATACTGATTTTAATAAAGCTCAACGACTCTGTTATACTGGCACAATGAGAGAAACATGACGCCAGGAATGGCCTAGACTTATTCCTTGATTGTCGCAAAAGATTTTCAAGGTCTAATCGTACGTAGTTTTTTATTATTCTTTACTACTGTTTTTTAGCGTCATCTAACGTTTTGCAAATATCCGCGATCAAGATTGCACTATAGTTACCTATTTCCTTATCGACCGAACATCGGGACAATAATAAATATGAGTACGGCGCATAGTCACGACTTTCCCTGAAAAATCGGAGCATCGTGCTCGGCCTATCGCCATCATTTGATTAGAAACGAATGAACAAAATTAATCGGTCGTCAAATTAATAATAATTTTGAAATATATCAAACGGGTGTAAACGATTTATAAGGAGACATCAAAGAGCCTCCCGAGTATTGATTTAAAAAAAATTGTAACTGTATTGAAACGACATTCTACTTATGTCAAGCGAACAAGCCTACGTGTATATAATGTGGCACGAATAAATTATTTCAATGAGGATGAGAGTGAAATAATGTATTTACTACGAAAACGGTGACCGAAGAAAAATTTAATCAGAAATATTTTCTCTGAAGCTGCCGCTATAGATAACTTTAGAGTAGAAGCACGTCATCTGTGTATCGCATTCTCTTCTGGATTTTATTCAAATTTAGCGTATATCCGGTTTACGCAATGCTGGGAGTCCTTCATAGCGCTATCGTATAATAAACGTTGCATGTAATTAAAGTGACATCTCGCTCCTGTAATTCGTTTGAATACTTCATTCTGCATCCTTGCATAAAATTATCATGCCCTCGCACATTTCCAAGATGGTAAATATTTAAGGGATGTCACACGTAAACGAAAGGAAATATCGCGCTTAGCGTAATGGCGGGGCGTCGAATATTTTAGACACGCCACTGAGCACCGCTTCTGCAATCTCCGGCACCACCGTTCTGTCAAATACTAATAATAGAAAGGCGCTGTCCTGTCCCGAAACCAAGTAATTTCCAATCACTTTGGTAAATGGTAAACATAACGGGTGACGGCCCAAAGCCTTAACGAGCGTCTTTATTACTTAAGGTCCCATCTGATACGATATTAACGGAGAAAGGGACAACGTTATTTTTGGGTCGTCGCATGTCGCAATGCCGTTGCTTGTCGCCAGCGCAGCGTGCCTCGCCGTCAGGCTGGCAACCGACGTCGAATAGCGAATAAAGTTGCGTCGAGACTCAGAACCGAGTGTAGCTCGCAAGCCTCAAGGTGCCTCCGTATGTGAGATCGCATTCACGTCCACCTGAATGTACAAGGAACCTCACCTACATTGACAAATCCTTTCATCCCATTCGAATCCGTCACCACTGCACTTTAATCGTGCGAAACTTTCCAAGCAGCAAATTCGCGTCATGATTCGCGATATCTTTGAGCCACGATGGTGCGTGCTACTGAAATGAATTCACAGTGTAGATTGACTATAGCGTAATAACTATAGTTATATATATACTTGCATGGACGTATACTGATGTATTTATCAGGTCGCGAGTATCGACCCGATCTCGTTCATAATCCATCTCGGTTGGTGCACTTTTATTTCGCGTGTTTCTAACCAACAGTCATTTTCAAAACCTTGAGTTTTGCCATTAGCGTTGTCCGTTGCTTCACGATAAGCCTTGGTTGATTTATTTAGCGAATACAAGAGCCAGAATTTTTTTAAATGTCCACTACTCTCACATAACACGTCCCCCACATTGTATCTGTCTCATGAGCAAAGAATTAGAACGTGCTTCACAGATCGGTAGCAATACGTTGTTTTTGTTTCTACGGTCGTTCTCATGGCAAAAAATCTGCAGAATATCTGTCCAAGATTTATCAAAATTCTTAATAATCATAAAGTCCATTGATCTCTCTTTCACTTTCGCCTTCGTCAACATCTTCTATTTTATATATGTAAATACATATATATATACATATGTATTCGTTAGGTAATAATTTATGGAGAATCGGTGCCTGGTTGCGTCATATACGAATGATTCCGTGAGTGAACATCTCTCGTGTAATAGATGGTAGACTAGGTTTAATACCAGCCAAACGAACCGGTTCAACCAGCAATGTATTTTCGATTATGTATTATACGGACACCGGGTACATGTTGCACAACTCAGAAGGAATAAGTCCCTTTGGAGCACGTTGTCCTTGCCCCACAGCAACTCGGCCGATCGAGCGAGACCCCATACATTCTTTTCTAGACTCCGGGTTAGCAGGCTATTCGTCTATACTTAAGCATGAACACATTGCGTTGCACGCACGCTGCATACATTTGAATGCTTATCCAAGGACGTTGCTTTACCGACACAGTATAGTTACGTTATACAGTATTCGTAACGTCTTGTCTCGTCTATACATCTCGTACAATCTTTATCTCACCTGCTGTGATTTCTAACGCACGGTACGTACAATTTACGTTGCAAGAATAGTGTATACGTATGTATTATATGTTTATCGAGGATTATTTCTACAGAGGAAGTATTCAGGCTCTCAGAGATACCAGTAATACTTGTCTGGACAAGGTCGAGGTTCTGGATTTTAGTCACACTACCGGAATTCCCAAATTCAATTTGACTAATCGAGTTTTTCTCGAAGCATTGCTCTCCTGAGATTTTATGTATGTACATATAATAAAAAAAGTCACAATCTACATTTCGGCACAAGCACGGGAGGTCAAAAGGCCTTTGGTAACGTACGTGGCGTTGATTTAAATGGAATCTGAATTTCACTTACGTAACATTGACGGTCTAGAGTATCCACATTAAATTTGTATGGTTGCTGGTATGTGTAAGTGTAGAATTCTTATATCCGTAGGTTTGTCTTGAGTGGGTGTACGAGATTTGATTGTGATTGCGCGACAATCGCTCTCGCTATTAATAGTAACCTTATCGAGGTGTAATTTCGCTATAAGGCATCCCAGGGAGCGCATTGCATTTTCTTTTTCTTCGACAATAACGCCCAGTTCGATCAGTGCGCTTCCTCCCCACGTTGACCTCATTTTTCCTCTGACCTGGTTATGGCATACTGCATTCGGATTGCTTCGAACAAGCCGCCAGCTAACAGGTGTTTCGTCATCACCAACAAAGTCTATATCACTACCAGATGATATTTCTGAAGCTTCTTGTACGTTTCAAAAGTGTTGAAAATTTAATGAAAAATAGCAGAATATTTATTTAATCCCTCTGATATGTTTTAATAAGTCTGCTACATTTTTAATAAAGGTTGTGTTGAGAGGCGCTGTGCGCGATCGGTAACTTCACGTAACAAGAATAAAAACAGTCGAACATAATATAACCTCGTTTCTTGGTGAAATGATATGAGACGTCAATTATATAACGTGATTCCACGGTTTAGGTATGTGCTGATAATAATGCTTAAGCACGCAACGGATTTGTTGCAATATCATTATGTCCTGATATCTCATAATGGGTGGCAGCGCAGAAGAGTCACTAGTCAAAATTCTGTTTTTCGCTAAGGCGCGTGAATTGTCGGGATTAAAAGAGTGTCAGATCGCTTTGCCTAGGCAAATATCGTATGCAGATCTTGCAGACCGAGTAGTTCGCAAGTTTAAATTGGAAAGTATTCGTAATAATTTGATTTTTGCTGTGAATGAGGAATTTGCCTTACCAGACATCAAGTTTGAACTTTCTGAGAACGACGAGATAGCTGTTATTCCACCTCTTAGTGGAGGTATGTTTCTATTATTGTTATAGAAAAATATATCATTTATGTGAATTTCTTGATGAAATACTAACATTGCTATGCACTTATTTGTACAGGTTAACATAAAGATGTCGAAGGATATTGTTAAGCTTCAGAAAGAAAAGTTGAACATTGGCGAAATTGTTGACCTGGTTGTCTCACCTAATTGTGGAGCTGTATCCACTTTTAGCGGCACTACCCGTGATAATTTTGAAAATAAAAAAGTAGGTCATTATTATAGAAATTGTAACAAGCATGTATCTGCTCACCAGCTGCTTTTCTGTACTGTAGCTAGATGTAAAACAGCAGTTAAGGGCGAATATTTGATTAACTGTTGCTTACAGGTTGTAAAGTTGGAATATGAAGCGTACGAACCAATGGCATTGAAGGAGATGAAAAATGTCTGTGGGAAAATTCGTTTGCAGTGGAACGTTGAACGTATTGCAATATTCCATCGGCTTGGGGAGGTTCCTGTTTCGGAAGTCAGTGTTATTATAGCAGTTTCTTCACCCCATAGGCAAGAATCTCTTCAAGCTGTTCAGTATGCAATTGACACATTGAAAGCGTCTGTACCAATTTGGAAGAAGGAAATATATGACACCGAGAATTCCCAATGGAAAGAGAATGAGGAATGCTCCTGGTCTACTAGTAAATAATTCATTGTATTTTTTTATTGAGTTTGATGCAATCATATTAGAAATGGAAGCTCAAATTTTTTTTCATTACATTAAAATCATATATAATAGTAAAAAGCAGTATTTCTTTCAATTTGTGAGATTATAATTTAAAAATCTACAAGTTTCAAGGATACTACAGTTATAGAATATGGATTATTCAGGACTAACGTATCGATTGAAATTCTTTTTGCCCTAGAATTTAGGTGGATTAGTTAATTTCAGTTGAAGCATTAGTTCTGAAGAACCAATAATATAAAAATATTTAAACTTATTAAAAAATTCACAAAGATTTATTCCATGTTAATACTACTTTAAATTTATAATTGTTATCAATAAAAATTGTTATCAAAGGTTATGTATTAAAGCCTCTAAACGTGTTCCTATCACTTATCATTTCCTGACGATTAAACGAAAATTTTTTATTTGTTTTTCTTGCATTCTTCATCAGTTGACGCAAAGACAATGGCAGGGGAAGCAGTTCACGTGTCAATGACCAAAACCGAAGATAGTTGCACAGATAAAAAATACATTTTGGAAGAAGAATCAAAAGAAGTAACTATTGATCCGAATCTTGTTCAAATTCGTGCAAATCCCGAAGAATTGAACCGGCGCATAGAGTCATTCATAGAAAGAAAACGTCAGCAAGTGAATATCGTCAACGTGCAAGAATTTTGCTGCCACAGGTTGGTTTTCTTATTATCACTGATATGATTAACTGCAATACATGTAATACAATAAGCATTATAATTTTTAAAATATTTTCTATGATGCTACTTATGACTCAACATAATTACTATAATTATTTAGAGATCAAACCGAGGAGAAGGAAGGTTCATGCGCGCGTGTCGATGCTATTCTTATTCGCCGAAAAGATTCAAAGAGTCATATGAAAGGTAAGCTAATTTCATTCAGTCTCACATTTTACCCTTTTATCCTTTACATAATTCATTCTCTGAGTGTTTAGTTCACAGAGTATTAAACCCTTGGGGCCCACAGACAGTCGATCCTTCGACCTTATATAAAACATCAACATTACCACATCATTTTCCCAATATGAAAAAAGCTTATTCATCGGCATTAGAAGAGAGACTATCCACTTCTGAAAAATTGTTGGGAATGAACGGTCCCGTTCCGCGAGATGTTTACGAAAGACTTAAAAATATAGAGGATCGTTTATTGCATCTGGAAAGTATTTCACCGGAATACAAGGACTTCTGGGTAAGTAAATTTACATTGTAATCTTTTTTTTTTGACATTTTCTATTACAAGAAAAGATTGACAGTAAGTCGAATTCCAAAGTTCTAACCATGGAATATTTATAGAAAACACTTCAAATAACGAACTATTTGGTAGTGTACAATGTCTAATTCGAGTGTAATGACTCAAGATACACTTACGCTGTGTTGTTAAATATACTTCTGAAGAAACGTCATCTCGTGCTTTTTCTTACCTAATAAAATTCAGGTTCCTTTCAAATTTTTTTTCGTTCACATAGTCTTCTGAACTTTTGAAATATCTCAAGAAGCGCCTTCTACCAAATTATTTTACAACTTGGTCGAATGGAATACGTGATATTATTAATACTTTGTTACTCATACAACGCATTATATTAAACGATTAATGATACACATTAATTTATGTTTCACAAAGATTAAAATTTTGTAGGTTTATATTTTAATTATAGGTCACCGAAGAAAGTGAGAGCCTGAAGAGTACTTATAAACCCATAAGGAAAAGGGTGAGTAGGTGTTAAATACCGAATCTAATAGTTACCAATTTAATAATAAAATATAACATAGTATAATATCTTGAAGTTCCCACAAATATAGAATTTTTCCGAAATCCATAAATCATAAATGATTTCCTTGGTCTGATTACGAATCAATAGTTACACAAGACCTATCAAATAACTCAAAACCGCAATCGGCAAAGCTCTTCGTTCTTATTTATAACTCTTTCTTCTTTCACAAGAGTACAAGGAGAATTCACTCTCATGGCAATAAATCAATATCCCTTCCTTCCTTGTGTGATTACAGATGCTTAGCAATCCCATTAGCGGTCATGCTTTATAAACATGCGATTCAGAAAATGAAAGGTCTACCGGTAGAAGTAAATTTTGTTTGATCCCAAGACCCGCTCATCATTGGTTAATGTGTTTGTACATAAATTGACGTTATCCAAAACCAACTGCAACGACATGTCATGAATGGTTCCACCCTGTACCAATCTGTAACTTACTAAAACTTCTAAGCGTACACATGTCACGCTTATTTGAACCTAGTGTTGAATTGAATTTATGTTTATCGGATACTATAAGTACAAAATACTGAGCTGGGTTATCAGATATACGTATATATTCGCATTTCTACGTTACTCTGTATTCCCCATATTCCTACTAAAATTCCAGGAATGATATCGCGTTTCGCGTGCACTTTCAATTAAACTTTAGACGCTTAAGTTGGTGTAAAAATTTCACAATCTGCCGCCGCGATGAGAAATTTGAAATTGGTGCACCTGCCTGTTAGACACTGTATATATATACCAACCTAATGAAATGTTTAACAAGTATTTGGTTGCATGGTGTGTGAGAATAGCACATCACAGAACATAAACCATGCTTTATATACTGTGACTAAAAAGTTTCATGAAACTTTGAACCTCAGCAAAGAAGTGGCTATACATATTCCGTTATGCTGTAGGGAACATTGAGGGAAAACATGAATTTTAAAAGTTCCTCGAACGCTCGCTGTACCAATATATAGTTGAATTTTTTATTGCAGACGTTTTCCACGGCTGAATTGGATACGAAACTGCACGAGCTTGAAGACCGATATGTGAAAAAGATTAAGTAACGTACACTTAATTTATGAACAAATAAAGCATTGTATATACGCACAGATACACATAAAATGATGTTTCATTCATTCAGGATACATTGTATCGTATAGTATACTTAACAAAGTGTATAGATATACATTGAAAAATATACAATTACCTTTAAGATTGTCATTAATAAAAGCCTTTCGCACGATCGGAAGCACTAATTTACCTTCCGCGTCACGCTTAGCTTTGTACAGTTAAAAACGGAGTCAGTGACTAAATTTGTCTTATCATTAAGCGTCAATTGCTTCTGCAGTAAAGGAAGTAGCCAAGAGTGCGTCTCGTTAGCGTTAACGAGCCGAATTCAAAACATTATGGAATTACTAATTAATATGCGTACCACTGATACACTTGTATTGACCTAACATCATAAGTACAGTCGTCTTCAAAGTCATGCCATGAGTTTCCTGCTTATAATTTGCTATGTCAATGCGATCGATATTATACGGGAACTTTATCGACGCATTGATAAGAGAGAGCAGCTATCGTGTACTCCGTGCTAAAACCGAATGAGCTAACTTTTCAAAGTATACCACGGCCGAAGGAGTTGCTTAACTTTTGCCCAGGGATGTACAGAGATTAGTTCGCAGTTTGGCTGACAGAGGCAGTCTTCGTCGCGCTGCCAGACGGTATGGCCGCGGTGCGTCAGGTTTTCACCTCACTCTTGAATAATTCGAAGTGATTCGTAAGAAAAGATGCATCCGGCCTTCGTGAATTAAAAGAAACTACCAATAAGATACGAAGCTGTAAATAACAAGGTGAGTTTTGCATCAGTTTTACGCTGTATTAATACATTTTCGAGGGGTAATAGCTGCACGCGGACAGCACGTCGTCTGCCACTGTGTGACAAGCGATCTTTTTTTACCCTCAGCTGGGGTGGTAAACTGTCGGAACGTTTATTTTTTATTCTATCTCTCCTTTTCCTACATTAAAATGAATACGAATCGCGTTGACTTGGCTTATATTATTCGAACGTTGTAATGTCGCGGGATAAGAATTTGCGGATTTTTTCGAATGACAGCTGGTAAATCGAACGTTGTCACATTTCGGCATTATCGGGTAGATTTTTTACTTTTAGCCATCTTTGCTTCCTCTTGCGAATCTACCGGGCTTCTGAATATGTATTGCGAATGGGGGAATATACATATTTATAGAGCACATTGTGCTTACCACGTGAACATATAAATTATTTTGATACTAAAGTCCTCCGGCCTTATAATTTGATTAAGAATGTCTTAAAGTTTAGTAACTGTAGTTTATTTGAAAGGAGTTATCGTCTCTCTTTTATTCCTACTTATTAACAAATAATTACTATACACGCTGCTGTAATTATTGGTTACTGTCGTAATACCAGTAAAAATGAAAAAGTAAAATGTAACTTGTGTACCATAAACGTGTTTCTATACAGACAATCGGTCACGCTGAGGTAAACACTACTTTCCCAACTGCCATCGTTACCTAATAGTAAAGTGATTTCAAGTGACCCTTTACCCTCAAACTTAACGAGACTATAATACGATACATGAAAGTTCTTAAGCTCTTAAAATAAAATAACTGTACGCGAAATATGTATTTTACGTACAGCTATGCAAGCACGAACCTGCTTGGTTTAATGCCTACCGCATTCCCTCGTGGCGTAATTGTTTGTTTAGGATTTTAACGACGTTCAATATTCCTGTCATACAATTTACCACGAAATAATGAGGAAGCATCGATAAACGTGCGGCAAGAAGTATTCAATATAACGTACAGCGTCTAATGATGTGAAAAAGGGCAGGAAACGCTCTAAAAATATCTACTTCAATTACGCACTACGATAAAAATTTCTCTGGCGCTTCCTGGAAGATCGCTTACTTACTTCATACTCTTGCTCGTCATGCATATAATGATAATAAAGGTTGGCGCGCAAACAACATAGAACAAATTTCCAGAAGTTATCCAGCATGTTCAACTCTACCCAAATATCCTTGACACAGTATAAATAGCGAAGGCTAAAAATACGGCATCTACACCTATCCGATTGATCATATCCATTTAAGGAGAAATTGCCACAAACGCATTTGGAACCAAGATTATATATCTGGTATGTAGCCTTTCCCAATGTTACTCACAATCTAACGGTACTATTAACCACCCTTTACCTTTTCTTTTCAGTATTTCGATAATGTAGTCACCCAATCAGCCGCTAATCTTACCTTGCAAGATAACATTGCGATTCGGTAAGTTTCCTCTTATCCGCATTCATTTGGCGAAAGAATTTTCTGTTTCCGGTTCAAATTTCAAACTAGTCGGCACACGCTGTGAGCTTGACTATTAGCTCTCCTCCTACAATCGATAAGACTTTTTACGAAATGGGTACATGCCTAGAGCTCATAAGTAACTTCTTTTTCAATTCTTAGCTTTACAAACTAACATTGAAGATGGTGATGCATATAATTGAACCGAGTGTTTAGACCTGTTCGTGTGATCTTGATAGGAGACTCACAGTGTCGTCTTTGTGTTTCCATGATCGCGTGAGAAATATTATCCTTCGTCGGGAACCCTAGAACGCTTTTAAGAATAGTCTTGATCCTCAAGCTAGACATGCATGATATTTCAGTTTTATCACGAATCCTTCTATACTATATCCATATCAACTACGTCTTATTATAGGCACGTATGCATTTATATTTATGTACTGAGAAATCTAAAAGTTATTTTAGAAACAGTTATCTTGCCTCTCGAAAAGAGCAAGAACCAAGACAGACTCCTCAGTCATTAGTTTCCTAAGGTATTCGACATGGCTACGTAAACGGAATTTGAAATGTCTGTTGCGGTAGTATATCAGCAGCGTTCCGAGTGCCGGCGACGATTTCGTAGCACCGCATTGCAATCGACCTATTTCCATAGAGGGAACGCTGAGCTGAAGGCTATCCTTTATGGATCCTCAATCAAGAAAATCCATGTTAATTTACTTAGGCGTTGCTATCTCGTGCTTAATTATAAGTCCATTTTGGATTGGTGGTTCTATCGCGAATATCGCGCGTGCTAATCGACTTGCTGACTTCCTATTTCATTAATTAACTCGATCAATTATTTCGAGCGGCACCGGCCGTTAATCAGAGTTCTGTTGAGATCACAAAAAGTTTCTTCCTTTCCGTAACGACCAGTGGCGCCTCGGTGGTGGCGGTGGTGATTAGCTGTATTACGAAGACCACGATGACGGCTTCCTAGCTGCCGTCGCTCTCCGGCAATTTATATACGACCGAAGTAGAACCGTCAGATCGGAAATACCTGTTGTTGGCTACATGAATGAAGAAGATGTCTATATCGTAGGCTATCGTGCTTCCTGGGCGTGATCGCGACGCTTGAAATTTCCATAGATAACCGTTAACCGTGAAAACGTCTACTTGGGTTGCCGATTGGTTCGTGAGGGTGCATCGTTTCCGTTAAAGGCTACCGGAATGTTTGTATGGAGTCAGAGTCATTACTTTTCTTTAAAACTATTCACTTTACTTTCGCTTGTCCTTCGCTTTACCGTTAGCTCATTGCCTCTTCTCTATTAGTTTACCTCCTGACAGTTCACGACGAAAGCAAGTCTTTGAAATGAGGTTCCTGATTGGTTCCTCATGATTGACAAAAAAATGTAAATATTTCGTCAACTTATCTCTGAGGGAATAGTCCATGGATTTTGTAGTTTTCGCAGCTGCTGAAAATGTTAGGGAAAGGGAGAGTCACCGTAGTTTAGTTTATGAGAATGTTTGGTATTATTAAACGCGAAACACTCCTACATATGTAGGACACCCGCATAACCTAGTATCTATATGTATAAGGGAGGTCGAGTTAGCTTGAAAAAACATTCTTACAAAGTCCTATACTTTTCCACCTCTTTTTATAGATAGCTCACACACCATTTCTATGGTGGATCGAATGTCTTCAATCGCTGAAACGGTCATTACTTCTCTAGTGATATTTCGGCGAATGTTTTTTCTTGGCATTTCAACCTGTACACAATCACGGCCTTTGGTACAACGCACACTTGTCTTTAGATTCCAATATATTTTCACTGAGTATATTCCATATGAGTTTTATAATAAAAATTCGAAATACACTATTCTCATATGTCAAATATTCATTTGTATGACGTATAGAACTTTTACATAGGTGCGTATGAAAATATTTTATTATAAGGTACGTCAGTTCCGTTACGTCTTTTTTAATATTCCCGTCTGTCGCCGATGACCAAATACAAAACAAATGACGGAAGTTGCACCTGCCATATCTCTTTTTAAGCTTCATTCGATGCTTTGACTCTGTGCAAACTCGATTAACCCATTCGGATACATCGTACTATAGTAAATATAGTATAACGCACATAAAATTACTGCACAATTTTAATCTACCGCCTATGCGTGTTATTCTACAGTCTTTAGAAATCGACTTCGCGTACGTACATTACTCTTGTATATATAACTACGTACCACATCATTTCTGGCCCAACCATTTTTAACTCGAGATAAAAGCCTGCCGCGTGTACGAATAAACTCTCCGGCCGTCACTCCGACTGCGCACAGTGCGTTAACCCAATTTCGAGTGATCGTCGTTCGGTAATTTCTATTTTTTTTTGCGATACCAAAAACCGGAAATATTACGTGGCAGCAGTTGCCAGTGTTGGTCGTTCCGGCCGGAAAATTACCATTGAACAGTCACACCTAATGCCACTACCATATTTATTCGAAAGTGCGAACCTTCGTCAGGCTAGACGTAAGCCATATCGATCGTCTTTTACCTTCCTGATTATTTGTTTAATCAACCAGCGGCGTCAAGAGTCCATTGTTAAAAGCCAGGCTAACGACCCTCCCTTATTAACATTCATTCGCGTTCGATGTATCGTCATCAAGCGTTGCCCGTTACGTCTCTCAACGATTCACCAGCACGCCGTACAAGTCTTTGTCATTTTGTTCGAAAGTTTTGCGAAGACCAGCCAGTGCTAAGAGACGCTCGTCGAGTGATGTAATGAAGCACTGCTACCTATGGATTCCAGTTGTCTGTCTAGACCAGTGTTTCCCAACCTCGTTGCGTAACAGCAGCCCTTTTCGCTTTTTATTAGAACACTAACAAGACGCCTCCTGTAACACAGGATTGCGGCACTGCTGCTCGCCACCTCATTTTGCCGCTCTGTATTTGCTTCGTGATCCATTAAAGTTCGGCGAACTTACGAAATATTATTCGATCGTAGTCACTGTGTCTCTTTGCTCTTTTACGTGGAGTATACATTCTATGATAGCTATATGTATGAAGGAGTTTAGGTTTCTTTGCTACGAATCGAACAAAAAATCATCCAACCTCCATTATATTCTGTAACGATCATCAGTACAAGTGGTAAGACTATTTCACTGTCTAGTGTCAATTGGATCAGAGCTTTGCTCAGGGTCTTTTTAAGCCGCTTCCCCCGAAATGCGTGAAAATAGAAATCGCTTCTATATACCATAGACATTAATGTACTGGAATCATAAATATGTAAGTATCCGTGCCCGAGGAATCGTCGTTGACAAAGTGCCGTGAAGAATCGATGCGCAGTCTTCGTACAACTTACAATCGACCGAGCGTTACATCGGCATCGTCATCGTGACTGTTCGACGAGGAATTTCGAATTAATTATCCAATCCAGCCTCGTGAGTACAGTGACTTGAATTTGTTATTTTCGTATATATCCACAGGAAGTGATTTCTGTGAGAGAAATAAAGTAAAGAAATCAGGGCGTTCCATTGAAGTCAATCGACGCCGATTGCTTTAATCGTCGACACGACTTAAGATCTTTAATTGTCATTTCGTGCGTTCCACGGTAGCTTAGTTTGATAATCTGTTACACGATTGATCAGTATCGATGGTTAACAGTCTGTATCGTTAAATTCGATATCTTAAATGTATCAGTTGCGCAACTGATTTGACTCTTGAGTCACGAAGAAAAAAAAAATATTCTATATTTACGTCGAGCAACGGGAAATCGTTTAGGTCGAAGCTTTGCAGGAGGAGGTCGCGTCGATCGATACAAAGTCGTCGTACAAATAGCTGACCAGGGCCGTGCACGCCTGACCTCCAACCTGTTCTAGTACGCTATACTGCAAGGGCATCCAATTCCTAACGCCACGACACCACTCGCTAATAACTTTTCGATCCTTGGCTCTTATGTGATGAGCGTGCTTTGCGAAGGTCTTGAATTGCGTTGACGTAGCCGGCGCCGCTGCTGCTCTCAATCTCAAGCCCATGCTTCCCAGGAGTCGATAAAACTTGAGACCGCGGAAACGAGTACCAAGGATATTTATCGTGTGAAGACGATTGCATCTTTCTAGTATGCGAATCAGATGCGAGGAACGCAGGTAGAGTTTGGCCGTCGAACCTGTCGAAATAATTGTGTAAAATTCTAGCCTGCCTTTGGCGTATCGCCTTTTCGACCCACCTGTACAATTTATAATATGAAGCTCCTCGATATTCTTATTCGTTAACGAAACTTGTCGCAGAATGTCATCGCTGTCGGCCCTGGCTTCGATTCTGATCCTTTTCAGGAAAGGCATCCTCTTCAGTTCCTGAAGCACGTCTGACGTGTTCATACTGTTGTTTGTCACCTGAATAAGGTAATCGTTAATCGGGCAGGGCAGCTGACTGGTCTTTAAATTGGACCTGTCCGTTGACACTCCGGCGTCACTTTTCGAGATATTTTCGTTACGGCGATTTATGCAAGATCACGCAAGTTCTTGACTTGCCTAATGATATCGTCCAAAAATTAACCTAACCGTGTGAAAACGAATTTTTTATGGGGTCACGCGTTCCGTACATTTCGTGATCCTATTGTAATATAAAAAGCTGACTTTCGTATACCTCGTAATCTCGCCATACCACCGGGTCTCGTACAATGTCCTCGAAAAATGTGGAGACTCTTTGCAAACTGTACAGATCCTGCGACGACAGGTAGGAGAATATCTCGAGGAGGATTTCAACGGGAAGGACATTGATACTGGCTCCCAATGAATTTTCCGAGGAATTCTCATTCTCTGTATTCTTTGAACGTTTCGAAGGACTCTCGCAGCTTGTCGATACATTTTTACACGTTCTGCCTCTTCTCATTCCCATTTCTAGATGCACACCTATGTCTATTTGAATTCGCCGCCGTTTCTCACGTCATTCTTAAGGTCTTTGACAATTTTTCTTCTTTTTCTGTATCACAAACCTAATATCGAGCAATGAAAGTTATAGTACTACGTAACGGACATTACACGGGAGATTTAGCGCCGTGACGTGTGTCAAATCGCTCCTTATGAATTTCCCGGTTAAAAATAAAACATGGCGAACGCGTCTTCGCTCGTATCGCACGGAAGTAACGCGTCCATGGGAGTGAAATAAAGGGCAGAGTCTCGTATCTCGTGTTTCCGGCCTATAGCGTGAATGGCAAATGTAAGTTCTAGGGTTTCGCCCCTTTTCTACGCCAGTAAAAACAAAGTCACGAATTTCGCTCGATTAAATGACTCACCGAGTCATTTCAGGATGATTCGTTGGCACGTCGCGTTTCTCGTTCGTGTCGTGTAAATAAATGATAGAGAAGGTTCCGTAATAAGACGACAATGTTTTTTTTTTATAAATAGTTCCGTTGTATCGCATTAGCAAAAAACATAATGTCCCTTCTTAATGATTTCACAAGCCGTGTACTACGCGTGTCAATGTACGTCCGTAGATTTATACAGCTGCCATTATAAAATTTCAAATGATCGTAGATCATATACCGGAAGTACTAACCATGCTTGAAGTCTGTCGTAATACGTATTTAAAAGTAGGGACGATGTTGGCAAGTTAAATGAAGTACGCGATGATTATTTGTACATCATTAATATTCCCTCTAGCAGTTAGAAACACGTTACCTACCGGGAAATCAATGTTGTGCTAGCAACGCTCGAGACTAATGTCACGGCATAATAAATTACGATTTTCTTCACCGAACATTCTATCCCCAAAGGTTTTTATTGTATAATCCTGCTGAAGTTTGCTCTGTTCCTTTATTCTTCGCATGATCAAAATTTTTTCTTTTAACCGTAGCGGCGACTTGAATGTTGGCCGTTTGATTTTTATCACGGCTTTAACATTATTTAGGCCAGCTTACGTCACGCAATGGAGAGATTGCATTCGTGGTAAGTTTACCAGTCTGTATCTGCATATCGCGATTATTATCTCTTGCTGGTGGGTTTTTTTTTTTTTTTTTTTTTTTTTTTTTTTTATGCGACCGTGCGTAATTTCCATAAGATACTGGGAATGATATGGGATCAAATGTAAAGTGCACGCATTCATGCACGAAATAATCGAAAACTTATTTATATTTCAGATACAATATGTTGTCGCAAATGAAGAACACTTCCGCAGGGAAACTGGAAGGTAAACGTCCAAAGGAACTAATGTCGTCCTCCAGTCTTTCCGGGATGTCTCAGTTGTCCAACAGCAGCGAAGAGGCCCTAGTGCCTTTTGTTCATAAGCCGCACAACACCGATGAGTCCGAGAGGTACTTGTCCTTAGTCTCATAGCACACGCGTAAAAGTCTTTATTTACGTGAATGGTGTTGTTGATTCGGTAGAAAAAAAAATGAGACAATTCGTATGTGAGAAAGACAGTGTCATGTATTTAATGCTCGTTCCTCTTTAAGGGATAAGTCTTATTCATATTTTCTTATCCATTCTTGGCATTCAACATAGGTATAATAGTAAAAGAGAATTCTGACCGACATCGTTCTAGGTGCAATCCTACAATACCTTAAGTATACAAGTATTATGCTCTAGATTGAAAAACGGTATAGAATTATTATTGCTGTATTCGATGCTGCCTCTGTTAGTTGTTTCTCCGTAAGAAAGAGTATCGTGCTAATGAACTTTATTAAATTTTATTTTTACTTGTCGTTAGCCACTAGGGCACGTACGTCAAAGTGATGTGTAATTATCGTTGAGTTAACAGACGGGGACGTTTGACGAATAAGTAATTTCAGTTTTAAACTATTTTTCTATGGCGCAAACCATATCCTCAGGACAAAGGCTCTGTACAAAATGACAGGTTGAACACGCGATTCTCTTTGCTGCCTTTTTATTCCTTTACGAGCCATCCTTTGCGTGTATCCCGGCACGAAGGCTTTCAAGACGTTAAAAGTAAATTGACCGCGTTGAAAACCTTCAATTGATAAATTTCAGATATCCCGGGATATGCTAGGGTCTCGTTTGTGGTTAGTGTGCTTGCGCCGGTGTCGGTCATTCACGTTTTCATTTTCTGTCAATGCCTTCTTCACACGACACACTTGGTTTCAATAATGCCGATGTTTTCTTGATATCTTGATTTCTTAAATCTTATGAGGTTTTCTTTTTTTTTTTAGCACGGCAAAGGATAAAAGTCCGCCCGGAAACGAATGGATCTTGACTGGACCTAATGGGAACAAGGCATCCGTGTTACGTTTCAAGTAAGTTAAGTAAATTAATGCTATCAGATATACAGTAGCGCTTCTCAAAGTCGCTGCTCTAGATCGTAACTGTTCTAGCTCTTGAGGAATAAACAATGAATGCTGTTACTTGAATTTTTAGGTGTTCCGCTCTGGCTACTCCACCGGAAGAACCGCCAGCTAAGCAGCTTCATATGACGTATAAAATATTTCAAACAGACACCAAACTCATCAACCTATTACTTCAGTCCCATGGATTTTCCGAAGTGAGTAATGTCTCTTGGAATTTTTGTCGTTGCACAAAATTACTGTATTAAAATATGGACTGCATGTGTGATACGAGAGTTATACAGGGTTAATCATACCAAATTTGCCAACTTAAGTCAGCCTCTCCGCTCACTTCTTTGGTAGAACCAATTGCAGTTGGTGCATACTTATTGAATGATACTGTATAGGTATACATATTGAATTAATTAATATTATCTTGTGCTGAAGAAAAAACAGAGTCTGTATGCGGCATTAGATGATCTTGGAGGAGTCCATGGATACGTGATATTTAGTCCTCCGTATTTAGACCTTGTTTAGAATTAATCACGTTTCTTTAATCGGCGATTAATCAACCAAAGCCATTTATAGTTTTACATGGTAATGAAATCCGAGTTAACATTGAATAACGTGAAACGGCTATTCAGATATACAAGTCGGAATTATAAAGCGCCTTGTCGACTTACGCCTGTCTTAACGAATGTTAATTCTGAATTAGAAGTACTTAGCATGTCGTTGCGAATCAGCGGAAGCCGATGGGAATTATAATCACTTGAGAAACAGTGAAAGTCTTCGTATTCGCCAACGTTTAATGAAGGATTCGAACATTAGTATTATCTCAAATATAATTGCACTGTTAGTACCTTAACTGCCTATTGCACAATGTTTGCATCTGGTATTATGAGAGCATTATATTGATATTACATATCTAATTATAACCGTATGACGTATTGCAAGTATAATTGTGTGACAATAGCAAGGCTATCATAGACAACAATCACAGAAAGAGATGTTTAATGTAAAAGCTTTATTGTCTGAGGATATAAATGCATAAGTATTTGTTGCGAATTCATTACAGTCTAATGTAGACGTACGTATATCCACTAAATTTTTATATTCATTTTATTTATTGCTTGCAACCATATGTCTAGTGATGAGATACATAGTGAAAATTTTTTATAAATCTTACTTCGACATATCCACGAACTTCGTCAACAACCTTATCTTAGACCTCTGACATATTGTATATGAGCTGTTTCAAAGCAGTAGTTGAGAGGTTGACAAAAAAAAAAGAGATTTATATTAAATATTATAACTATACAGCTGATTTACATTCTATTCGAATTGCGAACGTATATACAAAGTGATAAGGCCCAGCCAAGGTGTAGTTAAGATCTGATTAATTCCGTGAGAATTTTAAAATTTATTATCGAATTTAATATGTCCCTAGTGCGCATTAGTACTGGCAATCTTGTTAACGCATTATTATCTATAATTAACATTTTATACTGCTTCAGCAGTGTTCGCGTTTCATTAAAATTCTACACTTTGCACTTTCGAATGCCTACGTATATGTTATGAAATGCTTTCACTCTTCTATTTGGTAATCTCTAGTTCGATACTCGTATAATTCATAAACGAGGATAGCAGTGATAGGTTAATAATTCTTTTGAAATTCGGATTTAACTTCAAGTTATAACTATGTCCAGCTTAGATCCAAATGTACGTACATTTTGTTTTGAATCCATTTTATCCGTGCTTATCCTCTTTTACTTATCACTGATTATAATCATCTTTCTTTTCCGCATAAGTACCCGGTGAAAATTCTAATACTGATAATTAAACAGCCTATTAGAAAATGACAATGTCAATTTGAACAACAGCCAATCGTGTCATGGACGCGGCGTATTTGCACGGCTGCCCTGGCAGCATAATGATCAGCCTTGACACAATGCTATTGGATGCAGTTGCTCCAAAACCAATGTGACCCGGGACATAAGTCTACGTCCAAGTTCGCCCTAGCGAGTGTCGTCCGTAACATCCGTACACCTTCACAATCTAAACCCCAGTTTGCCAGGTTTCCAATACGACGAAGTTTCTTGCAACTCTTGAACATATTCAGGACGGTCGTGGCTGAAACCTTGCTGGCTTCGTATATGTAGAAGCACGTCAAGTTCTGAATGAGACTGTTCTCATACTTGTCAGATTTGCGGGATGACTTTGATCTCATCGTAGAAACGTTCAATAATTTTTCCAAATGCCCATTCGTTAGGTCGTAACAGCTGTGAACGTGTAAGGCCGTTAGTTCTGGTGCAAGGAATAGGATTTTTGTAATAGTTAAGGCGCTGACGGTACGTCCAAGTTGAACTTTTTTAAGGTACTTCAATGAAGAAGGATCAGGACCATCTGTCCATATGACATTGGCACCATCTTTAGTTAGCGTTCTCAAATTGGGGCAGCTATAAAAGATTTCCTTGAGATCCAAATCCAATGGGTTCTCACTCTGCATCATACGAAGATTCAGATCGTGAAGTTTCTGCCCATTGGTTCGTAGGTATTCGTAGAAACCATCGAGCCATTCTTTCTGCGCAGGAATGCCGTGCACGCTAAGGGATGTGACGTAGGGAAACAATCTAAGCGCTTCTGGAGGATGATGAGGTTCTGAGATGTGAAGTTTTTCAACTCGTGGACAAGCCTGAGCCAAGAGTTCTAAACGTGCAGGCGTGGTTCGACAACTTCTTGCCTGAATGAGGCTAAATGGTGTTTTAAAACTGATGACTCCTCTGTTCATGATTTCCACCACTCTTCCCATATGACTGTATTCGGCCAGGGATTCTAAACTGGGTACATGGACTAGGGCTAGAAGTACTCCTGCACTGGTTACACCCGTGTTTGCTACGTTAAGTACTCTGAGTGTGTCACATAGGAAATTTCGACTCTCGTAATATTCCAACAATACGCCTTGCTTTTCATTCTTCTCAGTCTTGGAGCTCTTGACTTTTAGTTTGGATAGTAGAGTCTTAAGTCGTAACCAACTTGTTGGCTCTTGAGTGGTCAAAGGAGGAACCTTATCCCTGAGTTCTACCTGCAGTAATAATTGTTTTAACCCTGCATCTGTTACTTGTCTGGAGCAGGCCACGTCCAATATCACCAGCTTTGGACAAGCTTTCCCCACAACTTGAAGCACAGCATCGCTGGCTATATTGCGAAGCGTAAGGCTCAGAAGATTTTTAGTGCTCATCAATGCAGAGCGTAGCAGCTTACAGTCCAATCTAAGCAGGGCAGAGCGAGCCAGCTCCAAATATTCTAATCCCACTCCTTCTGTTGCCAACAATTTTAATAATGATGTCTGATGGCTGCATCCATAATAACAGCATAAGTTCACTTTCAGTTGCTTTATGTCATGTCCAAGAAGGAGGGCTAGTAGATACAATGGAGCAGGGCCTGAGATGAGAGTTGATCCATCCGATGAAGGTCCGTATAACATCCTTGAAGTCTCTTCAATGATTTGAGAACGTAAGCGTGCTGGTAGAGCATTGACATAGTATGGTCGGATAGTTTGCTTGGCAAATGCTAAAACTTGAGGAGCTGATGATTCTTGAGAAAGCACCTGTAGTCGGCGACACGTTCCATCAAGTTGCTGGCACACTCGTCCCAAACTAAGCACCTCTAAGGAGTTAGGCTGACGATAGCCAGGCATCTTCTTCTCTTATTCATTCACTGTAAAATACAAAAGAGATTGACTTTATTCAATCATGTCACTTTCACATTCAACAAAATGAGTACAGACTTTTGAACAGGAATTACAGGTTTTCACATTATATTTCTTAACTCCCCAATATGGTTTGCCTCGATATTAAACACCCACAGCACTGTGAATTTCTTATTACTACAACCATACTGACCATACTGGTAGGCTAAGTTACAATGCAGCATAATATTAATCTTCATCACTAAACAAATGTTGTCACACATTTCATTAAACATAAGTAGTCTTTTATTTATATTTCCATGATTTTATAGAAAAATTAAGTCACTATGAGGACCAGTTTGCCAATATAACAGTGTGCAACTTCAATATAAAAAAAATATTAGTGTTGAACGAATGTAGTGGATTATATCTCTTCGACGCAGCTTTTAGAGTCAAGTGTAAACGTTAGCAGAGTAGTGTTAATGCAAATTTTATTTCACATCATGTACAGTGATGCCTGTGCAAACAATTATCAATTAGTACACCAAAATTTGCACCAGTCTAAAAAATTTCAAGGATTTTCTTGTCAATAATTTTTTATTTCCCATTCACCCAATAAATGAAACGGCTGCTTGTATAACGTAGCATTGAAATTAATATAAGAAAAAATCATTGAAAAAATCCATCTTAAACTGCGTTTTACAAGCTTTACGTTAACCTATCTCAATTTTGCAAATGTTCATAAAACTACAATCGCACATTATGGTGCGTATATTCGAGAGACGCATTAGCACAGCTTTGTTAATTGAATCCCGCGTGTAAATAACTTTCCTGCCCAATAGAAATGATGTGTGAATAACTATGACGGAATGTATTACAGTTCTTATACTGTTTCAAGTTATACCAAAGAATGACACTTCTTTATACGCATGAGTTCTATTACGTGAAGAGCCTACCTTCAACATTTTCACGGTCCAAGAGTCATTGTTTCACAAAACTCGTAATAGAATACAAAAATTTCTTCCCGAGGCACGACCGCCGTCGTCTTTCACCGAATGTTTTGACAGAGTAATAAAAACTGCTAAAGCCGACGCAACGCGCACATGCGCTTCACGCGGCATCTTCACTTCGTACCGATTAAGAATTTTAAAGTCTCTAGAGCCATAGTAATGACGAATTAAATATCTACCGATTAAAGTTAACCTCAAGAGTGACTGGCACAATTTAAGTCTATATGGATTTAAAAAATTTTCAAATCTGCTTATATAAACCTTCATATTCGTACGGATGAGATTAATTTATGGTGATCATTGGATTTTCCGGGTTTGTCGCGCAACTTTGCAAATGTCAAATACGCGGATAAATCGTTTGTTTACAACCATCGACGGCTTTAACGCATTCTAGGGATTTATAAAGTCTGACCGATGTACTTTTTAAAAAAATAACTCGTCCGTATCGGTTTTATAAAAATGTTATCCGTTTTCGCATATTTTTCATGCAAATTGGCAAGATTGCGGTATCTCCGGCGCCTTAATTTGACTTGTTTTGGATAGTACTTTTGACGTGAAACAAAAAAGTATACATATACAACACTTCTGCAAAAGATACAATTCTTTGAAAAGAATAACTCGCTTGGTCTAGTAGAATCCAGCTACACAGAGATCGATTCTGTAATGTGCTTGGAAAGAGTTGGGTATAGGTTAGGTTGGGTTAGGTTATGTGACGGTCTTTTAGTTATAAAAAATCGTCTGAACGATCTTGTAGTGCTGTGCTGGATTGGTCTAGGTCTAGGTTATGTTATACTTTTTTGTTCCACGTCAGAAGTACTACCCAAAACAAGAGTCAAATTAAGGCGCCGGAGAAATCGTAATTTCCCCCGCAAATTTTATTCAATGTGTACTTTTTAGAGAAGCATGTATAGTTTATTACATTCACACAGTAACGACACAGTAACAATCATATTAAATTCCTAAATCTTTCAATAACGTGTCTATGGACAGGATTTCCATGTACTTTTGTACAGCTAATATTTCGATATCTAAAACTCGTTTCAATGCGCTTGTGTCAATAGCATTTTTGCAATTGCATTAAGTAGTTGAGTTTTATAAACAGTATATCGCTTTTTCGAAACTATATGCGCATGTTAGCTTGATATCTTATTCATGGTATCATATACAGTCAAAATGAAACTTAAGGAAAGACTAATGACAATGCTGGTGTATTATCACGCATCGTTTTCCGTCAATAGTTAAGTTCAACAATTAAAACAAAATTAAGGATAATTATTTTCTAGCGAATTCATTACAAAAGATGTCTTGAAAACTACACGTAAATATATTTGTCATTAAGTATGATATAATTTATAATGATAGAATAACCGAAATTTCAGATCCCATACAAGGATGTTTATATTTCGTAGAAAATAATTTACTGGCATCTCCCAAACTACTGGAAATAAACTTATCTAGTACGATAAAAAAATGCAATCCAAAATCGTCACCACAATTATATTTACAAACCACAATGACAGATTCACACCGATTGATAAGAAATTTATAAAATGGAATAAACGTTCCGATTCACATGAAATGTTCATCGAACACGTGCACTGAAGTACAAGGTGGAAGAAACTACGAACTTCTAGAATTTTTCTATTGACAATGTGTCACAAGGAATGTCAATGTTAATCACAAGATGATTGCACAAGGACACAAAATTGAAACATAATATATTAGGCGTTTATCCGAAGCAAAATAGCATGTTGAATCCAGTTGACATTTGGTACAGAAATTTCACAAAAACTATACAATGGCTAGAAATAGTTGCTCGTTTCACACATTGCTCCTGTCATTATTTGCAATTCGCCACAGTTTTACGTTAAAGAAAAAGCCAAGCGTGTTAAGCGTTGTCTATACCTTCAAACAAGCAAGTTTCCTGCTGGTGTCTCCTGAGCAAGAGCTCGTGCTAGACTGCCGCCTCTCCGCTTGGAAATTGTAAACGTCTCGTGTTCAGCTCGTGGCCTCGCTGCTTGCCCACTACGCCATCAAGCTTCTCTCACTGTCTATGCAGACCCACGAGGGCTTAAAATACTATAGTTTATTTACTACGGCGTCAATACCCCAGCCGTCCAGTTATTTCGAGACTTTCTGTATCTACGAAAGAGATCTTTCGACCAGTAGGCAGTAGCAGAAATCGAGAAGTCTTTTTTTAATGACAACTGGATTATAATATATAGCTTGATAATAAATATGAAACTTCCTTAATATATACTAGCTTATTAACGAAATAGATATTTAAGAATACGTTAATAGGCTATATACATAGTTTTTGATAGATTTAAATCTGTGGAGCGTGCATTGGACTGAAAGTTGCCTACTTCCTTCTTATTGTTAGTCTGAAACTTTCATAGTCTCATGAAGGTTAAGGTGAGGCTGGGTTGTCAGATTTTAGTTCAAGGATACGCTGAGTTTTCCCAGTTGCATTTTATGATTCCTTATTATTTTCGGAGATCTACGTAGAAGATATTGCTTTACGTTTGAAATATATATATACACTATATATCAGCATTAAGTGTGCAGCGTGATCCACAACCCTAGGTATCTATACAACTATAGCCCTGATTCCTTGAATCTCATCTGCCCTCGCGGTTCAAAACGTTTTCAGCTTGGTTGTTATCCTTGATTGGTAATGCAATATGTAACTCACGTACGCCAAGCAGTAATTCTTTTATTCTATTCGCACGCGTCGGTCTCTGCTTCTTTTCTCGTGACTTCCTTTAATCGATCTAATAGAATTTAAAATAGTATCTCTTATTGATAACAAAAAGCTGTTTCGCATACAAGTTCATGAGCGGCCCAATTCGACAGACTTGTCTTATAAACTCATTTCTTCCTAGTTAAAAAAAAACTGCTCACCCGCTACATGAATATCATCCGTATTTTCATATTGAAACCGTAAATATTTTCGTGATGTAAATCCTGCTAAAAAGATATATACATCCAGTCACAACTGTAATCGGTACTCGTCAGACAAGGTAACCATTAAAGTTAACGACGCAATGCAATTCTCTTCGAACGTCACAAGTTGCACCCAATTACGATTTTTTGCGTCATTAATATTTCCGCACGTCTTTTCTCTGAGGGTCGCCCTGCGGAATAGTCAGACAGAACTCGCTACCGCATTGGATTTAACCGATAGTAATGTAAGTCATTATATATGGATGTGCCATAACTCTTTGGCTCCGGTATTCGCGTCCCTGCACTGGGACTAAAAACAGCTATTCGAGACGTTGAAAAAAAAAGGATGTTGACACCCACTCAACTGTGGAATCTCGCTCCACGTAACCTATTCTGAATATGTCTTTTTGTCGGTATGTTGATAATTTTATGCGGCAACTCCGAGGGTCGTCGGTTACCATGGTGGGGTTTCCGAGGGTCACCATCAGTCTTAAGGTCCGTGACTAAAAAGTCAACCGATCCCGAACTGCTTAAGTGACTATGTATACCATGGTCATAAGTTTCTTATACCTTCCGCAAGCATATATTAATTTCCGCATTGCGTTTCTGTCTGCGGTGATGCTACTACTGTAGGCAGAAAAGTCTCTGACTGTCATTCGCATTAGCATCGTAATAACCAACTTTCAAGTTTTTTAACTCATGGCTACAGACAATTTAAAACACTAGAGATGAGATACCAAAGAATTGAATTACTCAATCTCAAACCATTAAGTTAATAATATAAATAAGAATTTGTTTTTATTTTACCATTTTTCCGTCTACTCCCTGAAGAAATAATATGTTTAGCTTCTAATTTGATAAAGGGAAAGGTAGATACCTTTCGTACCGTCCTCAAAGGCCATGACGGTCGGTAAATATATTTTCATTGATAATATTCACAAATCCCCATACTGGCGCTACGACTCCAATAAAATTATATGAGTATAGGAGGCTTGACTATAGGAATGAGATATTTCACTGTGCATTGATTCTTCAGTATTTAACGTACATTTCTTTAGATATCACGTCTATTGAATATGAATATCAAACCAATCCAATCTTGCAAGACGTACAACGCGAGTCAGCATTTGAAAACTATTACTGTAAATAGATAAGAGTCTGTTTACTTAAGATATAAAAATTCCATCCCTAAACCATTTTGTGAATCATTAGGACCAATCTGTACTGCTAAGGTATTTACGTTCTTCTTCATTATCTCATTTCCCACATCATTCTTATTCTCAATGTTATCCCGTCCATCCCGTAAGTATTCGTTGAATGGTAAATATTCAAAATGAACCACTATAGCTAAGCGCGTGGCGCATACAAACGTTCCAGGACGCATAAAAATCTCGTTGATTCGACATAACTTGCTTTTGTGACGCAAGAAGAAATCGATTAACCACCAAGAGAGACTTTCATCGATAAATGAAGATTCAATGTGCTTGACGTGTCTCCAGTCACGTATTCCTATAAAATCTCAACATCGCTCTTTGTATTCCATAACTATTTTACATAGTTCCTGCCGATCCAAAGTGTACCGAATTCTGCTTACACGTGACAATGAAATTTCCAAGAGGATAAGTATATAAAGTATAATAATGTATTACAGTGAAAATATGATGACAAATATGACACTTGTGTTAGAACCAATTTACTAAAGGTTATGTAAAATAATGATTTCTATCTTTAAAGCCATTCATCAATGGTTTAATTTGCCTCTTGTTTTTCTCCACGTCCACTTCCTACTATGAGCCAGTAAACGCGAAACCGCAAAATGGTAGTTTATGGCCGTTCTTCCGAAATTGAATAGTTCCTTGACGTCCTGCACGTTACGAGCGGCGACCTTGCGCGAAGGAAACTTCGCGACGCGTTACGTCGAACGAATCGCTGATCCGTCCGACCAATGAAATTGCAATGATGTTGATTTTCATTGGTGTCAATTAATATGCTCTACATTATTCACTACAGCGTGTAGCAGATCAAGTCTTATTATCTATCGAATCTTGGTGCTGCGATCTTCGCTGTCCTCGACGAAGATTACAAATTTTCCAACAATAAGAAATGGGCATAACGACTTGGCCATTTGTATGACAATAATTTAAGGATCGTTTTATATTTATGGACCGTGAAGGGCGTTTTTCTCGCTTGTAAAAGTCTTATTGCTTTCTATACAATGACAATCGCACGGCATACTCGCGTGCATACACGTCCATTGTAACTTATGGAGATTCCCGCACAGAAATGGCGTACGTTTTAAGGTCATGCGATGCGTATACGTACATGGAACGTTTATGAAAATTGTAAGCATATTTTCGCAGGTGACGCTGTCAACCAGTGACGTATGAAGGTCGTTACAATTTACATTTTCAAAAAATCATCTCTCTTGAGATTCGTTGAACGAATGTAGCTTAGGGTGTGCTACGTGCGTATACATACTTAAACCTTGCAATAATTAGTGACTGCATTGTCAGTAGGTTATGCCACACGCTTCAATTAAGAAATAATTAATGTACGTGTCAATACGATAGGTAAAGGTCTATTGAATAGGCCGACGCAGCTATTATCATGGAATTATAATTTATAAGAAGCACCTTCGCAAATGGCGATCGACATGACGAGTACGTGCAACTGTTCGAATAGCACGTCACTCATGTACTCTAGGAAAGTCTTCTCGACAGTAGATCCGTTTTGATAAATCTCTCTACAGATAAGGAATATAGAATATTAAATAATCTACGAGTGTTGATAAGTTATAACAATCTATGAAATACTGTCGTGGTCGTATATCTTCGAATTTCTATTTACCATAAATTATATTGATCTATGGATCACCTCGCGTCAGATTTATAACTGTGTTGTTTGATTTCTATAATCATGGCTGTACGCGTGTATACAGCGTGTATTTAAGATCGGTTTAAATTGTGCTATATTCGTAAAGACCATTGTTTTGAGTAATGTAATTTTTATATTTTAATGGCACATGGAGGTGGGGCATATAATTGAATCTTACATCCGGCGATCACGAGTCGATCGTTTGAGAATATTTTTAAAAAATTCGTCCCTCATTTAATACAGCGTGGAACGTGGCTGATCCTGAATTCGTATTATTGGTGGTTTATTATATTTCCTTGTTGTTTTTTGTAATCTCTTTCCATTTTTCATTCGCTTTCCATTGGTAATTGATCCTTACAATGTTGACTTGCTTGAATTTCTACTAAGAGCGAAGGCTGAGAACATCGTCAGAAGCGTCCTTTTCATTGACAGTCAATCCGGATTATGGTGATAAATGTTAATGGTAAAGGATGCGGTTACCGTGCTGGAAGTGCGAGAAATATTATTGTTAATTGATCGATCTCTGAATCCGCTTCGTGATATGTCGACTAATTACATAAGAATTCAATTTTTTCTTCGGATCATCTTACGTGTCGGACACTGAAAAAAGAAATTACGATAAGGAAGTTTTATCCTAAGACCTTGAATTGATCGAAATTTATTTAAATTTCTAATTGTAATTGTTTTGTGGGAGAATTTTTGACTTTGGACACAGTGTGTTCTTTTTACATTAGACGGTCGCGTCAATAAATACGGCCAAACTCGTTTACCACGAAACCGCATCCGAATTAATTTTATATCGGAGTGTACTCTGAAAAATCACGTAGCGTAATGCTCTTCCTTAAGTAATCTACATCCTGTGCAACTTCGAGTACAATAACGTTCGTCTTCTTCACCGAAAGAAGATAATTTGAAATGTGAAGAGAATCAAAGCAATTAACAGTCTGCGTGCGCGAATACAATTTTCTTGGAAATACCCCCCCCCCCCCCCCC